GAAGAGCCGCTGGTTGCCGATCCCTGCTCTAGTTCAAGATATCATTAAAATTCCAAAAGTGCTGAAAAGATTAAAAATGGGGCTTTCCGTGCACATACAGTACATTACGGTAGCCACCGGGATTCCTTGTCTTGAGCGCAACGAATCACAACACAGATTCAGAGACGTGCGAGTTTGTCATCCAAAATGCTCCGTTTTATAACTTTTGAATGGTTGATCAGATTCAAATAATTCCAACGGTTCCTAAAAGTACATAAAAGCAGCTTTCCAACGGGCTATAGCATGAAGCAATCAGAGTTAGAGAAAATATCGCTACGAGGGGAAATCCTGCTGTACAGCCTGATTGAAACGGAGCGCAGCGCCGCGGTGAAAGCGGATAACCTATAAAACCAGGGTATATACAGCAATCCTTAAGTAAAATTTACTACTTTTTAATACTTTTTTACTACCTTCAGAATTTTTTTTAAAACCATCACAACACTAAATTGCAAGTGTTAATCAGCGACCTATTTACACATATTTTAACATATATAACATACAAAAAGAATAGACTTAGAGACTCACTGATGTTGACAACGTATTGCACATATTTATTTTACTTAGAAAATAAGCCAGGCACTTATGTTCAGCGGTTCAGACAGTTGACTACGGGGCCTGAAATGATGCACAACGACCACTGAATATGACGTCATCATTATGTGACCGGATATGCTAAAGTAGGGCTGCTCGATTATGGCAAAAACAATAGTCACGATTATTGTGACTGAAATTGAGATCTCGATTATTTAAGATGATTTTTCAATTCATGTAGATTTTTATTTTTTATTTTTATTCAGTCATAAAACTGCTCAGGGCACAATCAGGGCAAAAATAAACAAGAAACAAGATGATCACTAAAATAACTCCTGATTCCCAGTATAAAAAGACCAATATACTTATAGCTCATAGTTTATGACCCAAGGGCTATAGACCTTGGTTTAACTCATTTAAGTCTAACCAGTACAGACCCAAATACCAATATCTTGCAAATACTGACAGCAAGAATTATACAGTGGCATTTATAACAAATACATGCAAATTGCTGTTCACTAAATGTTGCATAGCATTTATTGAGTCATGTCAAGGTGCTGTAGGAGAGTGCACTAGCACCGTGTCCTCAGAGAGGTTAGTTATTATTTATCAGCGTGAGGAACTTATTTCTACCTAATTTATAAACTATTTATTTACAAGTCCATCAGTTAATGTAATAATTGTCCCAACCACAGCTGCACCCCCACCCCCAACCCGGTCTCGCAGCAATCAGGGGCAAGCTGCACGTGTGTTTAGCGCGCCGCACGCGCACATTTAGCCGTTTTTAGCGGCTCAGGAGTCCGCAGGTGCGGTGTGTGTGTCACTCACTCTGGTTACTCCAACATGGAGCCGGCTCTGAGAGCCGTTTCTTTAGCGACTGACACATCACTACATCATTCCCTTTCCTAATGTCCTGAAGAACGGTCCGGAGTGCAGGCGGAGTGTTTAGCTAACCTGCAGGAAATGTCGACGACAGTTATCCAGAAAGTAGCTAAGGGTTACCAGAGATGTTTCTGAGGTGTTCGCTAGGTACTTTTAAGATTTAAAAAGTCAAGAAGCGGGTCTGAGAAGCTGTTAGAAATAGCGTCAAAGTCGCTAAGTTAAGTTGGCAACACTGGGAGGAGCGCTTCTTTTGCAACTCAAGGCAGCACAAGTGGGAGGAGCAAATAATCGGCTTGTTTTGTTTTTATAATTGTTCAAAACATTTCATTCGGAATATATTTCTATGTCGATGTTCAGAATACGACATCTGATAGTCTGAAAAAAATAATACCTAATTTGGAAAAAATAATACCTCTGAGACCAAATTTAACACTTTTAATGGCCTTAAATTTGACTATTTTTATTTATCACTTTTTAATGCTTTTTAAAACCCCGCGGACACCCTGAAAATGACATGTTGAGGACGCAAACTCAATACATCTCTTTTATTGTGAGGTAATAATTTCTCCGAGTTTTGCGGTTGCGGGCGGGAGTAGACATGCACGCTGCAGGTGCGGGCGGGAGTGTAACACATACGTTGCGGTTGCAGGCTGTAATGGTCAGAAATTCAGCGGGAGCGGAGCGGGATGAAGAAAACAGTCCCGCGCAGGGCTCTACTGCTGCGTTTAAGTGTTTTAATTTTTTTAATGATTTCGATTAAAAATAAAGGCGCCCGGCCCGTGTCCGAGGTAATTACACAGTCATTGTCCCGAAGCCCGGCCCTCAGGCCGTCGGGCCGGGCCGGGCCGACCCGAGGGCCTAGGGCTTCAGTGCAGGGCTCTACTGGGGACATCACTGCAGAAAGAAGATGTTCTCTGAGTGGAGCTGGACTCAAGCCTAGTCAGGTCACTAACAAACTACTGGCCAATTATTCTAATTAGAATTTGGTATTTAAACTATTTATACTGTAAAAGGTCGCTCAGATGATTTACTACCTGTCCCTAAAACTGAGAAGACTACAAGTCTTACTTATTAATACTCATGGAATGCAAACATCTGGCCTCTGATTGGCTAACAGCAACACAACTCTTCTGCTGCCTTCATTCTTTTAAGTGAAAAATGCAAGGCTGAGGGGTTATCTCCACTGATGGTAAATGGCCTGTATTTAATAGAGTGCCTTCCAGAGTCCTGGAACCCCCCAAGGTGCTTTACAATACAATCAGTCATTCACCCATTCGCACCCTGGTGGGGATGAGCTACGATGTAGCCACAGCTGCCCTGGGGCGCACCGACAGAGGCGAGGCTGCCGAGCACTGGCGCCCCTCCGACCACCACCAGCAGGCAAGGCGTGTTAAGCGTCTTGCCCAAGGACACAATGACAGCGACAACTGAGTGGGGCTCGAACATGCAACCTTCAGATTACAGGGCGAGCATTTAACTCCTGTGCCACCGTCGTTTGATAAAGCAAACCTTAACAAGTTCGGCCATGTTGTGGAGCTGCTAATGGTTACCTTCTACTAGCCGGGATTCGAGGGCTGAATTCCTTTTTTTGTGACTGTAAAACAGCTCCAAGCAAAAACATCTTCTAAATGGAATGCAGCCTTCCTCAGTACACCTGTGTTCTCCCTGAAACCAAAGGTAGACGTTCTGAGCTGGATTAGTGGTTGGTAGTCACCCCAACACTCCCAGAGCTCCTATTATTATGGGATGGATTTGGCTAAAACTTTGGAGTTACGGTTCGGGTGTGTGGAGCAGAGGGAGTCAGCTAGAAGAGGTCCAAGGCTGAGATGTCACCTGGATGAGGCTCACCTTAACTTTCCGTGTCCAGAACCAATCCAACCTCAGCATTACAATGTAAGAGCAGAACTCCTGAACAGCAACAGAAACTTTAACGGGACTGACTAAAATAAACGAGCCATCGCGGAAGTGCATGGCTGTCCATCACAGAGGCTACTGTCCATCACTCACCATCCTCCTTCTCATCGAACACGGGTCTCTTTGAAGAACTGTTGGCTCCCATCCTCTTCTTCCACTTGCCCCAGTGAAACATCGATGCTCAGATTTCATTCCTCGCAGCTGGATGAGAAACTACAGCCCAGCGGTGGGACACCCTCCTCAGCACACCGCCTGGGTCAGGCGCTGTCCTCCTGTCCGTGATGGCTTCTGACACAAGGCGACTGAAAAGTCTGTTGGGATTAGCGGAGAGCCGGTACCGGAAGTGGTCTACCGACGGACCGGCCGCTGCCTCACACACACTCCTCTCCGAGACTCAAACACTCGGTGTTTGTCTTCCGCAGACAATCCAGAGACTTGTGTTTGTCGACACGAGAGCTGCGTCGAGGCACGCGCAGTTGGCTGCAACAAGACAGGAAGTCAGATGGCTCTTCAAAATAAAAGTACAAATTACATTCGTTCTTCAGTGTGGTGTAGAAACAACCTGATTAGGCTGCATGGTGTGCCAATTGCCACCAGATTTTCCTTCCTTGTCCACTCCAAACATTCAAATTGAAAGTTTTAAAATGACACAATGGTAAATGGCCTGTATTTGATACAGTGCCTTCAATTCTACAACCCCTCAAGGTGCTTTATAACACTACACACACACACACACACACACACACACACACACACACACACACACACACACACACACACACACGAGAGAGAGAGAGAGAGAGAGAGAGAGAGAGAGAGAGAGAGAGAGAGAGAGAGAGAGAGATGCAGTTCAACAAGTTCACACACTAAAATCCTTCAGTTTGTAAGTAAACGGACAACGCCAGTTTTAATCTGCCTAATCCAGCGCTGTTTTGAGGAAGCATCCTGGCAACAAATAAGAAATGTGTTTTGTGTTGCCGGATAAACCCTCAAACATATGTACCACACACAGATAATTCATGTATGCTCTCACAATCACATCACAAGTGTGCAGACAGAGAGCACTGCCGTAAAATAACTTTTTCATTTGATTAGTTTTGTGTGTTTAAATGGGCAAAGAAAATGTTATTACTTTATCCAAATGTGTCCATTATTACACAAACACATCATGTGTGTTCTGTTTGACAAATCATCACTTCTGTCAGAGCGCCCCGGGGCAGCCGTGGCTACAATATATCTCATCACCAGGGTGTGAATGGGTGAATGACGGATTGTGTTGTAAAGCGCCTTGGGAGGTTCCAGGACTCTACAAGGCACTATATTAAATACAGGACTTCTACCAAATAACTGACAGAAGTAGTCATGACAGAGGAACCACTCAGGCCAAAATCCTTTTGTCTCCAACTGATATAATCTCACTGAAAATGTTTCCACCAGCAACAATCACATAGAATACATTTTTAAAGAGCATATTTTTAACTAAGATGCATTAAGGTGTCAAATTTTTGTCTGCACGTGTCTACAGCACGATTAGAGACTAGTTTATATTTGTTATCAGCCAAAAAAGTTGATCTGGGGGTGACTTGCTCTTTAATGAATTAAACCTTTTAATTGTTTGTTTGTTTAGAAGACCTTTATTTTGAAAGTACTAACCGAAAGCTTGTTTTGCAGCGCTCGCAGTGACAGACAGAAGTCGGTGCTCCCAGACAGCTGGGACCTAAAGCCGCGAGGAAAGTCTGGACACCTGACAGTAAAACAGGAAGGGTTCTGTTTAATAGAACCCTGCTGGTTCCGGTCGGTCCCAGCACCAACGAACCTTAGTGAATTATTCCTCAATCCTATTAGACGATGGATGGGTGGAGCCCTAACCCTGAAAACCCGGATTATAGACTCCAACACGCCCCCTGAGTGTGTTCGCTCATAATCTAATGACACGTTTTAACCTAAATGTCAAACATCCCATCATGTGTCCAGGACTCAGAGAGGACAGGGGTCTGTTTGACATTTAAATGTCTCCGGCGCGGTTTGGAGCTTTTTGCCCTGGGGGAGTCGCCGTAGTTTGTGTATGTCCAGTTGCCATGGTTACGGCTCCACAAACGCTACTGTTAGAACTAACCCAAAACACAATGGCTGCTCTACAAAAAGGTGAAGACTGGCAGCAAAAGTTCGTGTTTGGGAACCAAGTGGTTCCTCCTCTAAGGCACCAGGAGGAGCAGGAGGACCAGGAAGAGCAGGAGGAGCAGGACCAGGAGGAGCAGCAGGCGTGCCTCAGGAGATCCTGTCTCCGACAGGTTCCAGACAGAATCCTCAAAAACAGCAGTCTGACGGTCAGTCACCTCCCACACTGCAGCATCACCAGCTCTTTTTCTGTGGTATTTAGCTCCTCCTGACCGGACTTGTGTTTTCCCCAGTATGTGTGTCTGGAGGGAAATCATATTCCCAGTGTTCCCAGTTCAGTGTTCGCATGTTGGCCCAAGCTGCAGTGGCTGGACCTCAGGAACAACCACATCACGATGCTTCCTGCTGAAATTGGCTCCCACAGGTCAGCTCCTCAGCAGAGGAACCCTTCAGAAACGTTGCTTTAATAGTTTTAGCTTTGGTTAGGGTTATCAACAGAATGTGTTCAGGTCTAAAACCAAAACACATCTGCAGTCAGACGTCTACATCCACTCCTCATGACTGTAGGCCTTGAACCAAAACATCAGCTAACGTCTTCATTTGTTCTGGACTTCATCTCTTCTGACTCAAATACAAACAACCCTCCTCCTGAGGCACACATAACTGCTGCTGAAGGCCTTTAGGTTGTAGTCTAACTCAACAAGATTCATTGACCAACATACTTTTCCAGTTACTGTGCATGGAGGTGATGCGTAACCATAGCAACGCCATATTATCAGATGTGCAAACACTCCAATCATGTGACTACATCCTAGCTGACGCTGGAAAGATGTAGAAGGAGGTTTGTGGGGTTTGTCTTTTATTCTCCTAAATGGTCAAATGAATTCAACCTTTTGTTTCTGTTTTTCCACCCTGGAAAAGAACCGTAGAAATCAGTCACTCAAGACCTGAAAGTAAAGTCAGGCCATCCTAATGATGGGTGGATGTAGCCTAACGTGTGAGAGAAGCTCAACCATCAGACTGATGCTGATCAGTGCTCCCTGATCCTGTAGGTGTTTGGAGATGCTGCTGCTAGAAGGAAATCCAATCCCAGAGCTTCCACCAGAGCTGGGTCAGTTTCACACTAGTCACTCATTTTCCCTTTGACTTTATTATTCTCACGTGTCAAATGCAGCATGTTTTCACTGAACTGATGTTCTTCCTGCTGTTGTCTGTGCTGCTCAACCACATAAAGGGAACATTAATGTAGCTCCAAGCCAGTCACACTTCTGTGAAATCAAACTGGCCGCAGGTTGACAGTTTCACCTGCCGTTGAGCAAACGGAACAGACAACAGGTGGAAGGTAAAGGCAATGAACAAGATGTTAAAGGAGTGGTTGTGCAGGTGGTGACCACAGACCACTTCTCAGTTCCTCTGCTTCTGGCTGATGTTTGGGTCGCTGTTGAATGCCGGCGGTGCTTTCACTCTAGTGGCAGCTACAACCCACACAAGTGGCTCAGGTAGAGCAGCTCATCCAGGATGGCACATCAATGCCAGCTGTGGCAAGAAGGTTTGCTGTGTCTGTCAGTGTGGTGGCCAGAGCATGGAGACACTACCAGGAGACAGGCCAGTACATCAGGAGATGTGGAGGAGGCCGAAGGAGGGCAAAAACCTAGCAGCAGCATCGCTGCCTCTGCCTCTGTGCTAGGAGGAATAGGAGTACTGCCAGAGCCCTGCTAAAGGACCTCTGGTGGGCCACAAATGTATGTGTGTCTGCTCAAACGGCCAGAAGTGGACTCCATAAGGGTGGTATGAGGGTCCGACGTCCACAGGTGGGGGTTACAGCCCAACACTGTGCAGGACGTTTGGCGTTTGCCAGAGAACACCACGATTGGCAAAGATGCCACTGGCGTCCTGTGCTCTTCACATATAAAAGCAGGACCACACTAGGCACATGTGATAGACGTGACTCAGTCTAGAGACACCGTGGAGAACGTTCTGCTGCCTGCAACATCCTCCAGCATGGCCGCTGTGGCAGTGAGTCAGCAATGGTGTGGAGGGGTGCACAGCCCTCCCCGTGCTCACCTGAGGAAGCCTGACTGCCATTAGGTACCGAGATGAGATCCTCAGACCCCTTGTGAGACCACATGCTGGTGCGGTTGGCCCTGGGTTCCTCCTAATGCAGGACCTCATGTGGCTGGAGTGTGTCAGCAGGTTCTGCAGGATGAAGGCATTGATGCGATGGACTGGCCCGCCTGTTCCCCAGACCTGAATCCACACCTGAGACATCATGTCTCTCTCCATCCACCAATGCCACCTTCCACCCCAGACTCTCCAGAAGGCGGTGGATGCGTCTAGGAGGAGATTCCTCAGGAGACCGTCCACCACCTCATCAGGAGAATGTCCAGGCATTGTAGGGAGGTCATACCGGCACGTGGAGGCCACACCCACTACTGAGCCTCATTCAGACTTGTTAGAAGGAGGTTACACCACAGCATCTATCTATCCATCTATCTATCTATCTATCTATCTATCTATCTATCTATCTATCTATCTATCTATCTATCTATCTATCTATCTATCTTTCTATCTATCTATCTATCTATCTATCTATCTATCTATCTATCTATCTATCTATCTATCTCTATCTATCTATCTATCTATCTATCTATCTATCTATCTATCTATCTATCTATCTATCTATCTATCTATCTATCTATCTATCTATCTATCTATCTATCTATCTATCTATCTATCTATCTATCTATCTATCTATCTATCTATCTATCTATCTATCTATCATCTATCTATCTATCTATCTATCTATCTATCTATCTATCTATCTATCTATCTATCTATCTATCTATCATCTATCTATCTATCTATCATCTATCTGTCATCTATCTATCTATCTATCTATCTATCTATCTATCTATCTATCTATCTATCTATCTATCTATCTATCTATCTATCTATCTATCTATCTATCTATCTATCTATCTATCTATCTATCTATCTATCTATCTATCTTTCTATCTTTCTATCTATCTATCTATCCATCCATCCATCCATCCATCCATCCATCCATCCATCTATCATCTATCTATCTATCTATCTGTCTGTCTGTCTGTCCGTCCGTCCGTCCGTCCGTCCGTCCGTCCGTCCGTCCGTCCGTCCGTCCGTCCGTCCTTCCATCCATCCATCCATCTATCTATCTATCTATCTATCTATCTATCTATCTATCTATCTATCTATCTATCTATCTATCTATCTATCTATCTATCTATCTATCTATCTATCTATCTATCTATCTATCTATCTATCTATCTATCTATCTACCTGTCTGTCTGTCTGTATGTAAGTATGTATCCAGACCTCCATGGGTTGATAGTTTGATTTCCTTTGATCTTCTCTGTGATGTACTTGTCAGCACACTCAACCAGTAAAGAACAAAGTATTTAACAAGGATATTTCAGATCTAAGGTTTTTTGTGTTCCCTTTATTTTTTGAGCAGTGTGTTTTACTGCTGTGTTTGTTTCTAATCAGAATAAAAACTGTGTTTTATTCCAGACTAAACTGCTGCTTGTTGTCCTTATCTGTGTTTGTGGTTTCAGGAAGTGTGATTACGCTCCGAGGCCTGAACCTGAGGGACTGCCCCATTCGTTTCCCTCCACCACACATCGTCCAGCAGGGATATCGGTCCATCTTGGCTTACTTGAGGAGAGTTCTTGCAGAGCGCTCAGTGAGTGCGACAAAGACCCTGCCAGGTGAATCAAAGGCACCTTACCGTTGAGCAGGACAGCAGCGATGTGCACGTGCTCTCCAGCCATCTGCTCTTTTTGTCAAAGCTAGGACAGCTGTAACAAAAATAGCTCCTTGCCCTGGTACCACTTCACTAGCGTGACTTCTGTTCCCTTGGAGATGGCTGCCCCCCCCCCCCCCAGCTCTGTAATATTTTTAGCCGTATGGAAAATGATTGATAACTAGTGGGCTCTGAACAGGAGCGCTCTGTCATTGAGCTCTGTCTGGAGGCAGCCGCTGACAGAAGCACAAGACAGCCCTCCACAGGAGATGCTGCTGCTGCACAGCGAGCAGAACCAGAACCAGAACCCCTGCTCATATTATCTATCTCACTGCCTGCAAGGTTATGAACAAAGGCAAAGCACCAGGCTTCTGCGGGAAATCTTTTACCTGCTCTAAATGTCTGAAAGCACAGCCTTTGTTTGCCTGCTGGGTTATAAAGCGCAGAAACAGGAGTTATACATTCATAAATTAATAATTGACCACAAAAATGACGTCAAAAATAAATATTTATGATCAAATCTATCTGAATTATGAAAATTTAATATAAATGTTTTTTTTTACTAAATATTTAAGTAACATGCAAATTGAGATGCTGTTATATTAGAAGTTGCCCTCCACAATGAAAAAGTGTGAAGTGACCCTCTAACATCTCTGAGTTTCTTCAGATGTGAGACTTGGTTTGTTTCTGAATAATTTCCCTAAATCCAAATAGAAACTTTGATGAATGATCCATGATTAAACAGACTCACCATCTGTCATTGGTTAGGGATCTGTTCACCATGCTTTTATTTTGGTAACATTTGTCCTTTTTACTTGATTCAGACCATTCAGATGTAACATTTCAAGTTGAAATGTGATTATAAAAATTCAGACTTTAAACACAAATACAGTCATGAAACTCTCACGCCTCCTGTCTGTCATCACTAGGTCACACCACCTGATAAGGGAACCCGCACTGTTGGAAGAAACGAGATAGCACTAAACACCAGTCTCGTTTCTAGGTCCAAACGTCTTCTGTTTTCCACGACCTCAAATGGTGATTTTGTCTTGGGGACTCTGGTAGTTTGTCCTGAAGCTGAAGCGGTAGCTGCCGGCTGTTTCTCCTTCTCTGATGTTAATGAGCGGAGAACCTCTCACACCCGTGGTGTTCTGCTGCTGAACACGTGAGTGTGTGATGAGTGGAGGACCCAGGGAGGAGCGGCGGTTCGGTGAGACCGACAACCGGATGGTCCGATGGCTGGTGTTGGTCTGAAATGTGTTGTTAGTCAAGGTTTTTAGACAAATGTGAGAAAACCTCTTTATTAACGTTTTTTTAATCTCCACAATATATTTATAGCTGTGTTAGACCGTTGTCGACATCGTTTTATTGTCATTGCACAGCTGTTCAATGAAATTGACTTTCAGCACACTAAAGACAGCTCACATAAGGAGGTATTAAGACATTCAAATAAAATAACAGGTTAAAATTCATGTCACGTACACACAGACTCTCTCTCTCTCACACACACTTACACACACACACTTTTGCACACAGCCAGTTTAAAGCATCAACATATATAATGGACAGTTCGTGTCCATAGGCTCCAATTATAAGTTTTTGAGTCAAAATTGGAGGTGGCCACCACCGCCATTTTGACCATGTCACAGGTTCCGTCAAGCCCAGACAATTCCATAAAAGGGAAATGAGGTGGAGCTGAGGGTGGGGCTGTAAGGCTGGGATCAAATGACGACACCTGTCGAACTGAAGCGATGTAGCTTCAAGCTAACCCAAAGCTAATGCGGAGGTGGGAGCTAAGCTAACAGAGGTAGCTACCTAGCTACAACCGGAGTTAACTGTGCACAACACCGGAGCTTCTGAGTCAGAGATGCGCCGGGCTGACCGCTGAAGAGAACCGGGTGGAAAACATCGGCTTCCATCCGAGAGCTCCACAAGCCAGCAGCCGCGCAGCAGACAGACGCCGCGATCAGATATGCGCCGAGCTGCAGCTGAGGGGAGGGGACCATACCGATAGTCGGAACCCAGCTCCACCAACATGTTATATTTCAACCCATTTTCTAAAGTGCAGCATTATGTTAAATGCACTGGGTTTTACCCTATTACATTTAAATTTCATGGTTAAACAGTACATGTTAAATTCTAAGCTCAGCTAGTGCAAGAGCAGCAGTGACCTAAAATACATAAATATAATTTTACTTACCAAAAAAATGAAGTGGAGACTCATTGGACACTCTATTAGTGCAATTAATGCCACAGCAAGTCATTTTGTCCAACAATTGCACAAATAATATCCAAAAAGAACACATAAACGCTACAACTAATGGTCTAAGTTGAGAGACTGAAAATGGCGGAACAGTTTCCAAGCCAGGCCGAGGCTCAGGCTGAGGCTTTTCCCCGGAGCTAGCTCTGCGGTCACGTGGGTCTGATACTCATTAATTATTCAGAATTTTAGGCATTTAATAGTGAGAAAAAAAATTCACCCCCCTCAGAGTTGTCATGAGTGTAAACTAGATCATTTAAACAAAAAACATGTTTTGGAACCAGGCTGTTAACGTGTTTATTTCTGCTGTGAAATTGGTATTTTTAACATGGGAGTCAATGAGGATTTGCTTGCTTCTGGCACTAGCCCCTAGTGGATGAGGGTGGAATTGCAATTTTTGTCACTTCTTGTTTTGCTTCATTTCCAGACCCGAGTTATGGGGGCTTTGTTTAAGGTTGTAGAAGAAGTTGCAAATGCAATATTCTGGCCACAGAGGGCAGTGGGTCTGAGTGACATCACATTACCTGTAAAGGGTCTTTTTAGGACATACTGGCTCAAGAAAATTATTTAAAATAAGAAAAAGTTGTAAAGTATCTCTTTAACCCTTTGATGCATGAATTATGAAATCTTCAACCATGATTTTCAATTATTTTCATTCATCTTTAGGTGTGAATGAAACAAATTTCAACAAATATTTTTTGTGACATTTAATAATTTACTAATAATTTATTAAATGTCCACCTCAGTGGACAGCGTGCATTCTGAACATGAAACATGTTGGCTTGACTTACTGAAGTCCAAATGGAGGCGCTCAAATGCAATAAAGTCTTAGCAAAAAAAAAAACTATTTTGAGTATCAGTCCACTGTGGTGACCATTATGCATCAAAGGGTTAACTAGATGAACGCGAGGAGAGGAGTTTCAGTTTTGGTTTGACCACAGAGAATTAATAACGGACACCAGAGGGTGCCTTTAAGAGGCATAAAAAATGCTTGTTTTGCAGATTTCCATTTGTAGATGAAACACCTGCCAAATCCATGAAAAATCTGATAAAACATGGCTGTTAAATTTTTAAATGTGGTTTTACCCAGACTGTCTCAGGCAACACGAGATGTTTATTTATTTTCAGTGTAATTATTCTACCTATTAGATATAAAGTTACTTCCAGCCAGCTTCCTGTCACCAGGATCTTCAGCTCTCCTATTGCTTCCATGCTTGTTTATTGTCCAGTAATGGAGAAGCTCCAGCTGTCAGACCTGATGGAGTCTGGTGTGGAGGAGGAGACCGAGCCAGAGGACAAGGACGGGCTGCAGAGGTTCAGGGAACTAAAAGACCAGCTGATCCTTCTGGATCAAGCAGACCTGAAGCTGACAGTAAACGGTAGCAAATGCCTCAGGTCTGAACTTCTCTCCAGTTCCAGGGTGTGAGTAGTGGGTCACTAAGCGGTTGGGGGAAGACATTTTATTGTCTTGAATAACTTTTATGTGATTTAAATGTCCTTATGTGTAAATATTCCAGTTTGGATCAACTGTATTAGAAAGTTTGAGGTGAAATTTAAAGTTTTTCTACATTTTTCTGTTTGTTGCCAAGCCCGTTTCAAACCAAAGCTTTTACCAAAGATTTCCATGACTCAGAGAGCAGAGCTTTGTGGAGATAATGTAATCCTCCGCTCACCCTGAGCATTCCCAACACCTTACAACAGCTCCTTCTCCATCACATTCCTTTATGTTTTAGTGATCCAGTCATGATGAAGGCTGAATTTGTCCTCCTGTAACCGGGCGCCTGGAAATGGACAACCTTCAACGTTTAAACATGTCTCTGAAGCTCAGGTCTGTGGAGGTCAAAGGAAACAAAACCATCCTGTGCTTTATTTGTTTCTCAGAAAAAAGAGCAAAGCTGGTGTACTTCCTAGGCTTCAGCTGTCTCATCTGAAAAGGTCAGAAGAAAAGAGGACATCTGCCATGAATGAGATGAGACAGAACCAGACTCTGTTAGAGCAGAGGAGGAAGTGAGTCAGTTCTAACTGATCATTCCTTTACATTTTCTTCTCTACTTACAACTAATCAGAGAATTTTTTATCTGATTTGCTTAAAGACTTGAAGCTCTAGAGAAGTGGCATACAGAAGCTAGAGAAGCACAGATGAAGAAAAAGTCTCTGTGCAAACAAAGGAGATGGGAAACAGGAATTCTGGAGGTACAAGGGGACAGCAACCTCCATTTTCACTCTCCAGTCACGAGGGGGCAGTAGATCTCCGTCAGCTGGACTCAGGTTGAGGCCATAACCAGATCCTTTACTGGGCCATGACCTCTCCTCCCAGCAGTCTCATAGTTTATGAGATTTTAGTAAAAAATCATGGAAAACTGAATTTGAGTTTTCCCAATATGGCTGCAGCTCACCACAGCTTCTCTCTCCGTTACAGGAAAGTCTGGAAGACCGAAGCATGAAGTCACAGATGTTGGACTTGGGAAGTAACGAGGACAGGTAACACGGTTAGTTCTTATCTAACCAGACAGGTGTGTGTGTGTGTGTGTGTGTGTGTGTTTACTGATTAAATTCTAAGTAAGGAGACATTTTATGGCATACTACTTCTGTAGTGGCGTCCACCACTGACAAACTCAGAACTTCTTTTGGTCCTTCACAAAAAGAGTCTCAGTTCCTCAAAACACTCAAATCTTAACAAAATCGTTTATCAATGCTGTTCTTTGAGTTTTAGGAAATAAAGTATTGAAATCAGTGTTTTATAAACTTCATGCATTTTTAGTAGCATGTGTATTTTTGAGACTCTTATTGTGAAGGATTAAAAGCTGCTCTGTGGGCACAGCTACAAAAGTAACCAGAACTTTTTTCTGGACATTACAGCTAAATTCTGGAAACAACATTGAGACAGGTTCCCAGAGGGATCAGATCCTTTAGTCTTTGGTCTTCTGTTTGGTCTGATACTCGTTTCTGCCGCCCTGATGACTCCACATGAAAATCAGACCAAATTTGATTCATTGATGTTCCCCTTAGATCAGCCCGGAAGCTGGAGAGGGACATCCGCGCATGTGTTGAGAGCATTCAGAAGAAAAGCAGGAATCCCTGCAGCACCACTTCTGAGCAGATGGCAGCAGAAGCACAGGATGTGGAAATGGTCAGAGCTATGATTTATTATCCTCTATGCTCACAAAGCATCTGTGTTAAATTATTATTGATCCAATTTCTCCCCTCCGTCTGACCGACAGATAAGGAAGTTGCAGGGACAGCTTATGGAGCGGAGGAGTCAGGGGAAGCATCATGAGAAGGATTTGTTCTCTGGAGTCTCCTGGCCAGGTTTTCCTTCTGAGTGATGGATGTTTGAGTTCTGTGGCCCTGAAGACCTTCAGACTCAGTGTTTATTATCATCTTTATGAGAAAACAATACACGACTCAAGCATTTTGTTATTCTGAGACAGATTTGAGACACAAATGTAATCTGCTGGGAATTTTACAGATTAGTAATTTATAATCTCCTGAATCTCATTTTATTACATTCACCCAGTGTTACCACCTATCCAACGGTATAAGGTTGTTATCATGGCAACCTCAGTCCCAGATTTGAGTCCCGACCTATGTCTTCCCTCTCCCAGTTCCTACCAACACTCCCAGCTCCTCCTGGGGCATCCTCAGGTGTTCTCAGGCCAGAGCCCCTCCATTTGGATCTGTCCTGGGGTCTCTCCCAGTGGGATGTGCTTGGGAACCGGGAAAATTGCAAGGTAACAAGGAGGTATCTTAACAGGAGTTGTGAACCTTCTGAGCTAGCAGCAGCTTTACTTAGTTCTTCTTGGATGATGAAGCTCATCTCCTCATCTGTAAGGCTGACCCAGCCACCCCAAGGAGCAACATCGTTTCAGCTGCTTGTTCATTTGGTCATGATCCAAATCCCGGAACCCAAGAATGAAGGCAGAAATGTGGATAAACTAGTTTTTCCTTTCCACCCTAACCCTAACCTATGGATCAGAGCTTCCCTCACTCCATCACTCATTCATTCTCCAGCCTCTCCCAACCTTGAGGGAGATTTACACCTTTTTCCAGCTGAGAACTATGATGTCATCCCAGCAGCCCAGTGAGCTGTAGTCCACCCAGCACACAGAGAAGGTTGAGGCTTAAAGACTTCACCAAAACCGTTTCATCTGAGGTTCTCAAACCAGACCCCCACCTCTCCATGTGGACATCCTGAGATCCAGTCCATCAGGACCACGACCAGGATCTAAGACAGGTCTGGTGGAACATTGCTGAGAATGTAGATAGTTATTATAATCAGACTGTTTAAATGAAATTAATCTCCCTTACAGAAAACGTGATCCCATGTGGAAAAGCATGACCTTGAGGGATCACATGAAGGTGATGAAAATGTTCCAACACTGTACAGGAAACATGTAGAGAACCTGTTTTACTTGGCCATTTAAAAATGTTCTACTTCAGAATCACATTTCTCTTGTTGCTGAATAAAGGCACTCTGTGGAGTCTAATGTCCTACAAGTCTGTGCCATCTCTTACCTGCTTTCCTCTGTAGATTAGTGATGTTGTTATGGCTTCAGAGAAAAGCTGCTTTAATGCTTCATAAGCTTAGACACGCCACCTTCAATCTGCATGTCCCAACCAACGTCAACATCAGCAGTAGATAAACCTTTGTAGTGGTAATTCTAACCATGGTAATGCTAATGTCACGTCTACAGTACATATAGCCTATGATGTCTGTGCAACCACAAACATCATATACGTAGACGCCCCGTGGACTGGCAGGAGCCCATCTGCTTCCGCACAATGGGTCCCTGGAAGAACGAGAAAATGAATGCAAGTCAACGGGGCTAAAAACGCTATTTTCTAATTCCGCTTGTTATGAGCCATGGATTTCATATATGATGTCTGTGAATTTTAAAGATGCATTTTGATACCAAGAAAGAGCTTTTATTCAAACGGGGAAACGCTATTTTAGGTTTTGTGTGAAAATAAATCCAGGACTACAAATGGGCATCACCAAAGTGACGTCATCGAAGCAGACACAGAGAAAAAAAGGGAAAAGGCTGTAAGTTCAGCAAACTTCAAATCCTTCCTTCAGGAGGAATGAACCACCATAAATCTGGTCATGTGGTAGGTAGCAGCTACGCTAGGGAGGGATGATTATGTGGTAACGTCATGTATGCGTCATACCGATGTCTGATTTGTAGTCCTGCTAATAAACTTTTACAAGCTGATAAATCTCAAAGGACATAACTGGAGTGGTCAAAACACCCATCACTATTTTTCATGTAAATTGAAGCATAACATGTGTCATCCAGGGTGTAAAGCAGGTTAGAAAATAGCTCTTTTAGCCCCGTTCAGGGACCCGTGAGCCCACCGGAAAGGGAGAAGACTTCTCCGTCAGCTCCACCAGGCAAAGACACGCACGCACAGAGACAATTTACCCTCAGACATCTCCGTCTCCTGGGGAGTGTTGCAAAGCAATTCCCCAAGTAATTAAAACAAGTAATTAAAACTGCGCCCACATTTTCTAAGTTAAACCTCTCTTTTAACAATGGTAGTTTCTGCATCTTTACTGTTCCCCGCTTCAGCCCTCTGCCCCCTCCCCCTACACAGCGGCCGCTAACTCACTAATGCGCCTGCAGCCTCTCAGAGTTCCTGCTGCTCTAAACATTAAAATAATTATTTCATTTTCTGTTCCTCACTTCTGATTACCTTCAATGGTATCTGTTTGTTGCAACCACTAAAACTAACTTGTTTTTATTTGACTATTTTTCTGTCCTGTCTGTTTATTATCTTCCTGCATCTCCTCTCAATCCTAAAGAAAAACTGCTACCTGGGTTCATATATATTCACCTTATGAGTTACCTTTGAACTGCAGTTCTAAAAGATCTACCGACTGCTAAAACAGCGGAGTGCGCGCTGGCCGCAACGGTGAGGTGAAGTCACCGGAGGACGAAACGTGATGCGCTCCGCTCCACAGCGGCGAAACGCATCAGGCACAAATAAAAGACAGAAAACATAAAAGGATATGAGCCGACATGAACGATCGTGCGTTAAATTTGTTTTTGAGGTGGCGACAGGAATGTTACTGTGGCCGTGCTCAGGACGCATCTGTCTGGAGCACGTCAACGATCAGAGCTCTGCGCCTCTCAGCTCTAAATAATCCTGGAGAGTCCACATAGATAATGTAATATAAGTAGAACCAGGATCGTTTCGGGCTCCCCCTGGGTGTGTTGAGGGCTTCCAGGAGCTCCCTTTAGCTCACCCGCCGTAATTCGAACCCTGCATATAGCACAAGTTTGTCGCATGAGTTGCCGGATCCTAGCAGACAGTTGCTGGAATGGTCCTTTCAAAATAAAATAGTTCCCAGATATTGTTCCGGAAAGATCCAGCTCAAATGAAACCCCGGCACTGCAGACGACAGCAGCGTCCTGACCAATCACACGCTTGCGCTCTCTGTCAGACGGATGTTTAGAAAAGAGAGCTCGACTCCGTCCGTCCTTGCAAGCCTGCTGAAGAGCACTCGCAAGGATGGATAATGGAGTTGTGTGCATCCGTTCCATCTTTGATGGGTCTCCATTCACCCCCAGTGCACTGAGGCCCAACCCCAACACCCTCCCTTCCACCCTTCCTTGTGCTCTTCAATTGCACATTCCATTCCAGGTGCGTAGGGTGTCCTGATCCTCACGTGTGAACGTTGACCGCATCTATGCGGACTTGTGTGAAGGATATTACCCACAATCCAAGAAGGTGGAACAATGGCTCAAGAGCCTTTTCTGAAAATATGCATTTTCCAATGAAAGTTCATTTTAAGACAATTAATAATTTTTATTCACGCTCTGATACAGACTAAGATTTTATGTGAACAGCTATAAATGTATATTTTGTCACAAAATTGTTTGCTTGTTTAAAGATTTTTTTTAAAGTAGCACAAACAGCGATGGCCATGTGTTGTGGTTGATGACGCAATGCTTACTGTCCCAATTTGGCAATTACTTGCACACTTGTGGACTACGCACTCGAAGCCTGTCTATGGCTGTCCAAATTCAGGGGTTGCGTGCTCATCAGGTCAGATTTTAAGACCAGTGACGTCACAGCGCCTTGACGAAGACCGTCCAAATTCAAAGAGTGCCCGAGATGCACTGTTGGATATCACACAGATGGATATGAAATACAGTAGCTTTTCATGTTTTTCAGTACCCCAAATTACTCATGAAGCTAGTTTAAGTTGTCATGAAATTGGTAACTTAGGAGCTTTTAGACTTTAAAAAGGCAAATAGTACTATAACAGCATATCATTGCGTCTTACAAAATATTCCAGCGGTACATCTGCTGTAGCTCTTCAAACAATAACAAAACAAGGAAAAAGTATAAAACATGTGTGAGCTCCATTTCTGCAGCTTCTACAGTAGCAGTTGGACATCTGCCAAAGTAGGGGCGTGACTATTATTTAAGGCTAGACTGTCCAAATTCACAGAAGGGTACTCATGAGCATGGCCCAATCCCAATACTTGCACTGCGCACTGCAGTCTTCAGTAAAGTGCACTTGGAGAAAGTGCACTGTAAGGCTTCGAGTGCATGATACACTGTGCAAATAATTGCCGAATTGAGATGGGGAGCATTGCGCCATCGATCACAACGCATGCAGGGAGGCTGGTCATTGTGAGACTTAAAAAAAAACCCTTTATTAACAACTTTCATACAAACATCCATCCATCCATCCATTTTCTGAACCCGCCTGTCCACGCAGGGTCACGGGGGAGGCTGGTGCCTATCTCCAGCGGTCAATGGGCAATCAGGCGGAGTACACCCTGGACAGAGAGCCAGTCCATCGCAGGGGATCACAGACACACAGGACAAACAATCACACATACACTCACTCCTAAGGACAACTTAGACAGACCAATTAACCTAACAGTCATGTTTTTGGACTGTGGGAGGAGAACCCACGCATGCACAGGGAGAACATGCAAACTCCATGCAGTAAGACCCCAGGCCAGGAAGCAAACCCAGGACCCTCTCCCTGCAAGGCAACAGCTCTAACCACTGCGCCACTGCGCAGCCCTTTCAAACAAACAATCAAACAATAAATTGAAATAATTTGACATTCATTGCTGTTCTGTCAAAATTTTTTAGAGCATGAACTAATCCTACACCCTACACTTGCACCGCTGGTCGGGATCGTGGAGTTGAAGGGAGCAAGTGTGGAAGTACGAGTATTGGGATTGGGAACATGTAACTGCTGAATTTGGACACAGTTTATTTGTGGTTGTACCCATCGACATTAATATACCCACTAACCTGGCTCTTTATTCTGTCTGAGTACTCTACTGGGCCCCCTAGCAGAATCCTCCAGTACTAGAGTGCAGCAACAAATTTAGGAGCAAAGGCGCAAGCAAGGTTAAAGAGCGGGTCAACTGAGCCTCGGAGTCCTTCTCCACCCACGTATCAATTTTTAAAAATGCAACATTAGTAGGCGTTGCCTGGAGGACTGAGAGGGCGGAGCCGCGGCAGTGACGAAGACGATGGCTAACTAGACGAAGCTAGCTCCCTTCACTCTGAGCAGTTATTAGAAGTGGAGGACGTTTCTCCCCCTCCTTACCCAGACACTCGAGAAGAAAGGGACCAAGTCTATTTGGAGGAGACAAGCGGACCTGAGCCTTATTGTTTTGAGCTTGTGAGTTGCCTGAAACTAGCGGAACATACCCAACAGAACCAGCTCTGAATGGTAAGTAGCCGTTAGCCATAGCATTGGATTAGCTGCAGGGTTCGGCTCCACGGCCCTAAAAAGCTAGTATTCAGCATGTTTTAGAGGTTTATCTGCTTCAACACACCTGGTTTTAATCAGCAACAAATAGCTGAGCTGCTTAACAGCTAATCTAACCTGTTAAAGCAGGAAAACCACTGAAACATGCTGGATAGCAGCTCTCCGGTAGCCCTGGGCTCAAGTTAAAGTCTGCTGCATACAAAGTTATGAAAATACCCCATGAGAAAATTATTCTGTAATGTGTTCAGCCCACTAAAACTGCCCTGATTTATTTATTTACTGATAACAGCTGCTCTCTTGGTTCTAGGTCCTCTGGTGTCTGCAGCTGGTCTCTGGTGTCGTCAGGATCAGGAGCTTCCAGAAGAATGTGCCTTTCAATGACTCTTTACCCCTTATTTGTTATATTAATTAAATAAATCTCAATTTATATATTTCCTGTTTTTGTTCATGTCCATAAATACTTAAACATGCTTGAAATTAAAACGAGCTTTTAACATCGAGGTGCTAGTTTAATTCATCACAATAGAGCTAGTTAAACATGCAACAAAAATGTGATAATCAATGTAATTTATAAATATCCATTAAAATATCAAAACTGGAATCTATATGAGATATTTGGCAGCACAAAAAAACTTGTCAAACACAATATTTATTATAATAATTGTAGGCAGACAGGAGACAGAGCTGATGGAGGTTCTCAGTCATCGAAGGATGGCTGAAGGCTTTCCAGGAACAGGAGATGTGGTGTTGTCTCTTCTCTCTCTATTCTGCCAGATGAGCTGATAAGTTACAGGTGTGTGAGGACATCCTCATGCTGTCATAACCAGATGACAGAGTTATCAGGTGATCAGCCAGGCTAATGATGAGATGCAGAAAGAAAAATCCAGGACAGTGTACAATAATATGTGGTGTTGCTCACCTTATAGAATATTAATGTGTGCCTGCCTCATGGTGTAGAGTCCATATTTTGCTGAATGTCCTGCAATAATGCAGGTTATTAGTAAATTTACTTTTGATAGCAAAAACAAAATATTTAATGTAAAAGTTATTTACCAGGTGAATCAGCTCACACGTCACCACCAAGTGTCACGGGGCAGAATCAGTAGCCTCCTTCATGATGTCATGATGTAATCACATACTTATTTAATTGTTAATATCTTAAAAATTCTGAAATGTTTTAATTTTTTTTTTTACCTTGAACAGTTCACTGAGCTTGCACTGTCACTGAGGTGGAAGCTGGAATCAACAGCAGACACCTTACATCTTGGTCTTTTCAGGGGGTGTGGACGCTGCTCTGGGACTTTCTGGAAGATGAATTTCCATCATGGTCCCTGTGGGTCACCAGACACACTGCGGCTGTGAACTCCATTCTGGCTGGCTATGTAAAAACAAAGAAGCAGCACATTTATAAATGTTTAAAAGAGCATAAAATCACGTGTAACAATAATCTGTAAAACAAATTAAAACTAGAAGGTGATAATAAAATGTTTACATAGAAGATTATTAAAAATAATTCACCTTTGCTACAGGTAAGGCTTCACGTCAGCCTGGACAAGTGCATTCTTGCAGCTAAATCAGTCTGACAGCCAGTGTCTTGGGTAGATTTAGCCTGAAAAAAAAAAATAGAAGCACATTGTTGTTGGGAGTTTATAAAGTCAGATAATATACAAAAGAAACTGTCCTATATAGGCGCTTTATAACATTCCTAGTGTGTGATCGTTGTAATAACGTAAAAGTCAGTCACACATGATGTGGAGAGCCTGAAATGCGACCTCCTGAACAGAATTCCTTACAGAACCGGGTCACAAGCTGGATTTCACGCTGTAATGCTGTGTGTCAACTAGTGCTGCGTCAGTTACCCTGGCTTTCCACAGGAGCCGTCAGCAGCACGTTACTGCAGCAGCACGTCATAGCTGCTGATAGGAACCGCTGTGGTCAACAGAACCTTTTCCACTGGAGCCGTCAGCAGCGCGAGTCGGCCGCGTCTCAGGAGCAGCATGTCGCGGCCTTTACGCGCCGGTTCTATTTTCTACGCGCGACGCCTCTGAAACGGGTCAAGTTCGAAATTTTTGGGGAAGGAAAGACAGGAAATCGGACGCGGAAATGGAGAGAAGATCTCGAGATTTTCAGAATAAAGAACGTACTGCCTTCCGGTTGCTTTACTTTTAAAAAATGTTACTAACTGTGCGGCCCCGTGAGAAGTTATCACCTAGCTAGCGGTCTCCTTTGTTTTTCAGGTCCGTATTGGTGATTATAAAACGGACAGAACATAAAACACAAACCATGTTGTAATTTTCTCCTGCTTGTTGTTGTGTTTACTGACGAAGTCACTCGTGTGACTTCGTGCTCCGTCGGTGATAGCTGCTCCTCTGCTGCTTCGCGTCTCGTGGGAAGGGCCAAGCAGCAGCTAGATGTGCTGCTGCAGTAACGTGCTGCTGACGGCTCCCGTGGAAACCTGGGGTTAGAGCCACTGTTGCAGAATTTCCGACTGACTAGCTAAAGGAAGTGAGCCACGTCTCTCCAACTTTGCATTTAGGTAGGGAATTGTCTTTAGAAGATGTTAAAACGTTTATTTAGCGTACTCACCTCAGACTGGAGCCCGCCGTGGTGGGGGAGCAGAGTCGGTGGGCTGCATCTAAATCGCGGAAGAGCCACGGTGGGCACAGCCTCCCTCTTCAAACGGAGACATGCAGAATCGCGAGTAAAATGCCCACAGAGCCACCGCAACCATATTACACTACACCTACTCACCAATACTAACACGATATGGAGCACTAAACCCGAACTACTTTCCCAATTACACTAAAAGCCAAACACTAACTAAACTACAATATCCAACAGCCAAACTAACACTAAATAAGTATTTATAACACTAAAAGCTATGCTAAAGACTAGGATATGCTAATGCTATATGCTAAGGCTGAACTACCGCTAACCTCCTACACTCGCTTGCAAATCGAACTCCCAACTCGCCACAAGGCGTGGCCGAGACGCTCGTTGCTTTTATAACTTTGACACAGAGCTGCTACGTAATACTCTACTGGTTTACGTAGTATCTTACTCTTTAGCCATTGGCTAAAATTTATTCAAAATGAGTCAAATTCTATGTTTTAAGCTGAAGGTGGCGCTATACTGTGGTATTTAGGCAGAATATTTAATTGTTAAAGAAAATGCACCAAAATGCTAAAATAAAGAATGCACACATTTAAAACACTAGACACTCATTTAGACAGTTCATCAGCAAAAAAAAAAAGTTAATTTAGACGTTACTTGCTCTTTAAAAAGCAAGTATAGCACAGATAGTCAGGACACCAGCCCTAAGGCTCCCTGTGCTCGCTACGGCTAACGTTCCAGTTTAAACGTAGACAGCTAAATGCCAGAAATATTTTTTTATGAAGCCTAATGAACACACAGCTCATGTTCATGTCCTGGCTGAGTGGGTGGAGTCAATCAATCTTTCCATTTTAGGACTTTATTATGGGGTTGTGTGGCCATTTATAATAAACAAGGATAGTTACTTACATAGCACTTATCTTAGGAAGACAAATCTCAAAGAGCTTCTCAAAGATCAGTCAGTTTCATGTGATATACAGCGGCCCAAAAAACGGTTTCCTATTTGTAAATAAAAAACACTCCAGTAAAAATGATCTGATCAGTTTTAAATGCAAACATGTGGAAAACGGTAGGTCTATAAACGGAAGGTCTATTATTTTTACATGAGGTTTTCTACCCCATAAAAATGTGTCAAACACTTTAATTTGACTTAGTTGTTGAGAACTGAAATGTTATTAATAAACCGATTTAATACACTCAATGAAATGTTTTTAAAAAGATAAATGACGTTACTCCTAAATAAAGACTTAAACTTGATGAAGAACTGCATCCAGAGTTGTTGTGGAAACAAAGATCCTGTTTTCTGGCCTCCAGCTGAAATAAAAGCTCGTTTCTCTAGACGGGCTGGGTGGTTCTGGTGCCGCTGATGGGGAAGGGAAGGCCGCGTCCCGCTCCCGCAGCTCACTGATCGTGATGTCAGCAGTGGCAGGACCGTAGTAACGACTCGGTGGGAGTGATGGCGTCATTTTCTGCCCTGCCGTAGCCTCCTTCTCCGACACACAGCGAAGGGACACGGATCTTTGGCCGACGCGACCGTGGCTCCTTTAGCCGGGAGCGAGTACCGCAGAGCCGGACGAGTCATCGCTGGAAACATGGAGGCTGTAGCTGAGGAGCTGCGGGCCGGCTTTCGGATACCTGTCACTATCGATCATATAGTTAACGACACGCTGGTAGTGACGCTGACCTACCGAGAGAAGAACTTCACGGGAGTTTTACTCGATTCAAACAAAAAGTGAGTGTCGATATTTTACCTTTTAGGCAGATATTAAGTTTCCTTGCTGTGCTAAAGGCTAATATAGCCTGTTAGCTTCCCAGGCCTTCAACAGGAAAAAGGTAATGTGGCTAGCTGTCGGCTAGCCTGCTAGCTACTCACCAGCTCGTAACATTGTTTTTAAAGTAAAAAAGAAAGTTAAACATGATTTAGGTGTTTAGTGAAGCTGTGTGCCACCGAGGGCCCAGCCTGAGGAGGCTGTTAAAGCTGTCCTGCAGCTACTCGTCCTGCTTTCATCTGTAGCTTATTGTTAGCTTTAACAGGTCCAGTCTATTACATGGAAAGAGGTCTCAACTCAAAATAAACACTAGAATCTGGCTTTCTTTAGTGTGCTTATCAACCAAAACGGTTTTGTTTCTGCTTTGATGTTTTCCAATAATCCGAGGGCCTGTTGAGGATGATTTAAAACGCTGTTTTACTGAAGGTGGTGGTGGTTTATATGTTACTGCTGTTTAATGAATCACTGATGTGATTATTTTACTTGAACTGAACTTTACTAAGTGATGACCTTTGCTGACACTGACACTAAAGGCCTGTACGCTCATAGCCATCAAAACCATATTCAGATGAAAAGCTCATCCCAGTGTTTCTGCCCCTCTTAATGTGTGTCACATGCCTTCTTTCTTCCTGGAGTTGTGCACCTTAAAAGCTACTAGCTTACACTATTTATAGATGAGCAGAATCAAACTAGCCAGCTTTATGTAAGAGCCCCGGCTGCCCGGAGGAGAACTCACCCAGATGGAAAGGGAGGCCTTCTAGTGCTTTGAAATAAAATGAACCTGGATTTCAGGCCTTCAGAAAAACTAAATTTGACCTCTTCCATTTTGGCTCAGGGACATTCATTTCCTTTCTTTGTTTCTCTCTGCTTTGTCTACATCACAGTGTAGTCCCATCACTCACACTAATCTCCACCATTTAGTTACTGTACACAGCATGAAAGGGCAGCGGTGTCACTAAATCATGGTCTGTCATATTGTGAGGCCTTTTGTTGTGCTCAGAGCCCACTGACTGTTCTGTTAAACTGGCAGCCCTGTTTGTCTGTCAGTCACGGTGAATGCTGATATTTGGCAGCTTTAAGGGGAAAGCAGAAAGGTAAGAGTAGCAAACGTCACCAAGAGACCTTTGTTCACAGATCCCTGCCAGCTCCTTCTCTAGGGAAGAAAAATGGGCTCCCCAAATGTGAACTTATTAATAATCTCACCACACAGGAGTATTTGTGGATGCAAAAACAAACAGAAATCTCCTGGCTACATGTCTGAGTCTCAAGTGATTCATGGTTGTTTTTGTTCAGTCAGATGTAGCAACCTGTAGCCTCTTTGTCTGCCGCCTCCAGCTCAGCCATCTTCCTGCAGCCTGCCCGCCTCTTTACAAAGACTTCTTGGCAATTTGACCTTATGGGACACGCTCATTGATCCCAGAATATGAAAAGGGGATTATAAAATGACCCAAGAAGGTAATGATGCTGCTCTACTTCTGAAGCCCGAAGCAGAAGCAGATTGTCACCTGTAAGGAAACAGGTGACAGTATTTAGTGATTAAAAGCAGTCTAGTTTATGTAAATTGTCTGACCAATTTTATTTTGGCCTTCTGATTCTCCACTGGTTTTATCATTGAACAAAATCTTTTAAGCTAGTCGGCTTCCTGTTCTACAGGCCATACTTCACCTGTTCAGGTGTGCCTGCCACTTGGCGTCACCCTGATGTCATGTTTGTTGCAGATGAATTTTGTTTGTTTATTTCCAGATAGCAGTAACTTCTGTCAGGCTTCATAGGTGTTCCAGTTGCATCTAACTGGTGCATCAAACATGAACATGTTCAGATTTTACCTGCTTTAATTTGGTCGTGGTTTTGAGTCCTCTGCTTTCATAGACTTCAGGAAGTGGAGATTCAGCTCAGAGTTCCTGGCTTCGTATCGCTGTATTAAGGATTAATTAGGACAAAACCGGTGCTGTTATGGATCTAGTAAAGACATGTAGAATGAAGACTTTCCTGTGTGGGATGTTAAAATCATTCAAGTCTAATGCAGTTATTAAAATCATTAAACATCTGATGTGTCATTTAGAGGACTCCTGCAGGTGTGAATCACCTTTTAGATGCTGGAAAAGCTTGAAAGTTTGGAACGGTGTGAAAACCCTGCATGTTTGCTGCTTGAATTTCTAGTCAGTGTCTGTCCGTTGAGAAAATAAATTTTTATTTAGTTCTTCTCACTAAATTCTTTTTCAGTCACCATTTAGTCATCCAATTTGTTTTAGTTTTTTTCTTATTTTAGTAGACTAAAATCTATAAATTTCTATTTGATGCATTAATTTTCTACTTGTGTAATGAGCAGAAACTGCTCTTGAGTACCCCTCCTCTCTACCCCCGATGAGTCGTTGGCCTCTACTGAAAGGGAGTCGTGTTGATTAGATGCAGGAAGGTGTGACCTAGACTGAAACTCAGGAATGAGATTTAAAGCTGCATTATAGGTACTGGAAAGGTGAAACCTAAAGCCTGCTGCACACAGAGGTGTCTGCTGAGCAAACGGCCTCAAATGACTGTTAGCTCAGCAGATACATCTCTGTGTGCGCCTGATTTTCACTGTTTTCTGCCTCACGAGACGCTGAGGTGAATATCTGACCGGTTTGATGTTTTCCCTCACGGGGGGTAAGAACTCATCGTGTGCGCACCACGTGAGCTGCTGGCTGAGCTGAAATATTGTAGTGGCCAATCAAAATGCGATCTCTGCTCACATGGCCCCAAGATGGCAGCCCCCTGTCTGCATGTCAGAAAATAAACAAAGTAGAGAAGAGCTGGAAATGGAAGAAATGCCTCTACTTTATTTGTTGATGAGGCGTCACCGCCATTTCAAGGTTAGGAAAGTATGGGTACGATGGCTAGGAAGAAGGGCCAGGCAAGGAGTTTATGCCAATCTACTCCCAAGAGATGCGCCTGGAAGTCCCAGAATCCTTCTCACAGTACCGCTGCCCGTATCCCAAATCCTTCGAGATACCTGAAACCTCCGGTCTAATGTCTACATGCTGAAACTGGAGCTCCAGACCTTTCTCTACAGAAACAGACTTCTTAGCATTAACTCATTCGCTGCCAGCGTTTCTCGCCGTTTTGACTGTTTTTTTTAAGAGTCATAGAACGTTGCGCGCTAGGATGATGTTGATGCCAAAACAACCAAAACAAAGCGGAGACTCACCTCTTGCATCAGGAAGAATCCGTGCGTTTCGAGCGTTATCCGTTCTTTCACAATCCGTTGTTGAATTGTTATCAGCAGAAGCTTTTCCGGTTCACGCTTCACTTTTTTTTACAGCAGCGGCCCAAAATGATCTCCTAACACATGGATGTTCTGCTTCTTGATCACATGACATGTGATGTATGCGGCTTTAGAGCTGAGATGTTTGTTCTCACAGTGCTGGGGCTCGTTCCAATGCCCACACAGTAAAAACATGCAAACAACGACTTGAGTCGTCATTTGCAGTAAATGAGTTGATTCAGACGACACCACAGCAGATTTACTGACCTAACGTGTGAATGAGAGCTTTAATCCATTAATTGGTCTAGAAAACACAGTTGTATGGTGTGATGAATGGATTAGGTAAGGTCAACATGTGAGTAACAGGTGATTACTCCACCTTTGTCACAAAGGCTTTAGTTTAGACTGTTTTGGCTTCTTGGCTGTTTCTCGATGAAACGAAGATAAAATCACTGACGTATCGTCTCTTCTATTCTCCCTTCTCTCTCTCAGGACCGGGCTCTTCTGTCTACCAGATTTCACAACAAAGCTGGAGAACTGCCTGATGCCTAAAACAGCTTGTGAAATCCCAGAGATCATGAGTGAAGAGCTGGTTTCCAAATCCCCGAGCCAGGCATCACACAGACCAAAGGATGAAAACTCGCTCCCTGAAAGCAGCACTCCTCACTGCCCCCTCTCCACACCAGTGCCAGCCGGACAAACTCCTTATCCTCCTTATTTTGAAGGAGCTCCCTTTCCTCAGCCCTTGTGGGTCCGCCATACCTACAGCCAGTGGGTTCCTCAGCCCCCTCCGCGGCCAATCAAGCGAAAGAAAAGGCGAACACGAGAACAGGGTCGAATGACAATCAGCACCATCCGTCTGCGGCCACGGCAGGTTCTGTGTGAGAAGTGCAAGAACACACTAAACAGTGATGAAGACAGCAAAGACGGCACCAGCAAAACATCTACAAAAGAAAATGGTGTCCAGAGCGACGAGGACGGCGAGTACCGGGATTCTCCCGCAAAGGTGCAGAGGAAAGAAGAGGTTGTTGCAGCAAAGGACCCCAAAAGACGTGAAAATGCCACCAGCCTGGACAGTAAACGTCCCAGGAAGGACAAGCGGGGTGAAGCTGAAGGGGAGAAATATGCTGCGGGGGACGTCATCCCTCACAGCCCTGTCATAAAGATCTCCTACAGCACTCCACAGGGAAAGGGGGAGGTCATGAAGATCCCCTCCCGGGTTCACGGTTCAGTCAAACCGTTCTGCCCGAAGCAGAACGGAAAAGGGTCCGCTGATGCCTCCAAGGAACAGCGGCACATCCTGGATGCCACCAGGTCTGGTCTCACAGTTTCTATTCCAAAACTAAAACTAACCAGACCCTTTGCAACGGTGGGTCAGGACCCGCCCCGTCCAAAGATCCGGTTGAGACCACCCCAGAGTGAGAGTGAGGAGACCATGGTTGAGTACGACGCCGAACTGGTTGAAGGCACCAGGAGACAAAGCCCCAGGATACTCGGCCTCCCCCACTCGGAAGACTCTGGAGAAGGGAAAAACTCCTTGGAGTTGTGGTCTGGGAGTTCTGGAGAGGAGGCGGATCGTAATCACAGCGACCTCACCCTTCTCATCAACTTTCGGAAGCGCAAAGCAGATTCTTCTAGTCTGTCCGTCTGCAGCAGTGACAGTTTAGATGAGTCCAAGTCCTTCAGCTCTGAGGGTACCTCGCCGGAGCTGTGTGACCTGGCTCCGGGAGAAGACCTCTCTGTCACCTCGTCCTCTGTAAATTCTAGGGACGACTGTAAGACGGTGCCACCTTTGACTGTCCGACTCCACACCCGCAGCATGACCAAGTGTGTAACAGAGGAGGGTCACGCCGTGGCCGTGGGGGACATTGTGTGGGGGAAGATCCACGGCTTCCCCTGGTGGCCAGCTCGCGTCCTCAGCATCAGCGGCACACGTAAACAGGGGACCAACACCTGTGAGGCCGAGTGGCCGCAGGCAAAGGTGGCATGGTTCGGATCTCCTACCACCTCCCAGCTCTCTGTCGCCAAACTGTCGCCCTTCAGGGAGCTCTTCAGGTCCCGCTTCAACCGCAAAAAGAAAGGGATGTACCGGAGAGCCATCATGGAGGCAGCCAAGGCTGTGGGGCACGTGGGTCCAGAGATCACGTCGCTGCTGTCCCACTGCGACACATAGGTGCGTCCTGTTCACACCAACAGCTAGTCTGAATCAGCCAGGACCAAAGTGTGTTGCTGCCATCTCAAAACATCACATAGAACCTTTACGCAGAAATCCCAAGAGCAGGTTACTGGGTGATGTTTACATTTGTAAATAACCAGAATTCCATATGACAAAGCGCCGGGAACGTTTGAACGCTAGAGAGCGAAAACGGCAGTAACACACTTCGGTCTTGGCTCCTCAGGCTGGAAGGACAAGAATGATTCGGTTTATCTGGAGTCAACTCGGCTGAGTGTCCTTAAGCTCGTTCAGGTGTGCTCTCACCTGTCTGACTCAGAACAGATGACACGCCACGTAATCACAGCTGTAAACATTTCACAAAAAGAGTCAAAGTTGCACATCTCAAATGTCCCACAGACACTTTAATATTTAGGTTTATGTCAAGTAACTTAAATTCCATCTTTAAGGGGCGGGGCTTGGCTCGTCTCCCCACACAAACGGGATAAACACCGCGAAGGCTGAATGTTTGAACCCAGAGATTTTATCATGAATCAGCGTATCATAAGTTTATCTGGAATAATAAAAGTTCTGACCCGGATGGTTTTGGACGCTTCAATACTGGACATGAAAATATCTGTCCAACATCTCTCCAGACATCAAAATCAGATTCCAATTATCTAAAGTCATTTTGACCCCTGACCTCTGGGTTTACAAAAATAAGGTTAGAAAATGAAAAAAGAACACACAAATGAAGTAGAGATGTCCAATGTTATTGGTCTAACATTAATATCAGCTAATGTTAGCATTAAAATGTAATAGAGTGATCCCTCGTTTATCGCGGTAGATGCGTTCCAGACCTGGCCGTGATAGGTGAAAATCCGCGAAGTAGGGACTCCCAGCATGCCCCTCGCGGGGATTCCCTCCACGTCGCACCTATGTCACAAACCGCGGCTATAAACGGAAGTCGCCTTTCCAGCTCACCACTCAGTCATCGTTTCTTCAGATTCATGATCAGTTTCCAACCTACCGATCAATCCAACGAACTGTCAGCTCATAGTAAGTTATCTTACTTACTTCTGGAAAGCCCGGCATTTCCGTGTCACTTCGTTGACGCTCGAACGCTCGGGGGTTTCCTAGATTAATCGTGAGCCGGCGTTTCACCAACGCTATCACTTCCGTGTCTGTTAAACCACGCTCCCTACAAGCTCAACTCCCGAATCCAGCCGACCAGTCTAACATACAGTACTATATTGAATTATCGTATGATCACATTCTGTTTTTGTGGGTAAAAATCAAGAAAAAAAATTTTTTTTACTTGGTTTTTTATAGTTTTATTACAAAAAGTGCATTTTATGATGAAATTGATGAAAATACCGTAAATCCTCTAATACAGGCCCGGGCCTGTATTTGACTCAAGCTCATCAAGCTCCAGGCCTTTATTGGAAGGAGGGCCAGTATTAGAGGCAGGCCTCAATTTCTAATCGAGCAAAATGAACTAATGGTTCGCTGGAGTCTTTGACAATTAAAATTGCGCCCACATTTTCAAAGTTAAACACTTTTCTTTTAACAACGGTAGTTTCTGCTTCAGCCCTCTCCCCCCTCCCCCTACTCAGCGGCCGAAAACTCACTGATGCGCCTGCAGCCTCTCGGAGTTCCTGCTGCTCTGAACATTAAAATAATTATTTCATTTTCTGTTCCTCACTTCTGATGACCTTCAATGGTGTCTATTTGTTGCAACCAGCAGGTACAAAAACTAACTTGTTTTTATTTGACTATTTTTCTGTCCTGTCTGTTTATTATCTTCCTGCATCTCCTCTCAATCCTAAAGAAAAACTGCTACCTGGGTTCATATATATTCACCTTATGAGTTACCTTTGAACTGCAGTTCTAAAAGATCTACCGACCGCAAAAACAGCAGAGCGCTCGCTGTTTGGCGGCCGTATCAGTGATCAGTGAGTTGGAGGACAAGGTGATGCGCGCAGCGCCCCGCTCCACAGCATGCAGCGAAACGCATCAGGCACAAATAAAAGACAGAAAACATTAAAGGAAATGAACTGACATGAACGATCGCGTGTTAAATTAGTTTTTGAGGTGGCGACACCTGATTGTTACTGTGGCCGTGCTCAGGAGGCAGATCTACCGACCGCGAAAACAGCGGAGCGCTCCCTGCTTGGCGGCCGCATCAGTGATCTGTGCGTCGGAGGACAAGTTGATGCGCCCCGCTCCACAGCAGCGATACACATCAGGCGCAAATAAAAGACATAAAACATTAAAGGAAATGAACCGACATGAACGATCGCGTGTCAGTACCTACGGTCTGGCACAGCGCGTTGCCCCCCCCCCCCCCCCCCCCCACCCCGAGCGCAGGAGCTTGTCACCTGCTGACAGCAGGCTGCTGTCTTTTCCGAGGGCTGCATCTTGCCGGTCATTATCACGTGACAGCGACTAGTCGATGACAGGCATAAAAAGTCACTATAGTGAAGTCGACTAGTTCATACAACCCCTACTGCTGCTCTCCAGAGTGTTCTTCAGCATAATCAGCATGTTCTCTTTGAACTTGATAGTGTAATGACCTGGCTGGGGTTGTAAGCCAGGTGCATTCTGGGTATTGTGTTATATGTGTTTCCTATCGTTCTGCTAGTTCCTATGTGCTGATTTGCGTGTTGTGTGAGTGTTATGTAAGCCACAGGAAGGTGATGTGTGTTCTGTGGAGCGGGTTGAATTAGCATGGTTAACTGACACCATGACTCTGTGTGGTAGGAGCGTGATAGAGGATCGTGTCTGTAGCGTTACAAAACGTTGAAGATAAAGCCTAATAAAGGTCTGCGTGAACCTCTACTGCCTCCTGCTGGTTGATTTGGGGACTATAACCCTGCCGCTGGGACGCTCATACGTGTTTGTTACCACATTCCACCCGGCCACAATAAGAGACCGGCCATTATTTACCTCCGCTGACTCTGACACCGGCCAAAATTGGAGACCCGGCCATTAATTGAATACCGGCCTGTATTAGAGGATTTACGGTAAACAGGAATTTCTTGACATTTCGCATAGAAAAATACCGCGAATCGGCGAATTTCCCTTGATTAAGGCTCCAAAAAAAATCCGCGATAAACGAACCGCGAAGTAGCGAGGGATCACTGTATCGGTAAATGTCTCCTTCAGTTTTTACTCCTTTAATGACCCAACTATAACATACACACATTATACATCAAACTCTTCAGCTTCACCTCCTCTCTCAAAAGGACATACGACAGATCTGAGGTTTAGTTTTTCAGATATTTTTGTTTTATTTGGTACAACTTGTGAATAAGTAGGAATTTCCCCTGAGAGGATCTGCTGTCCTGTCCTAACAGCATGTAGCTATGTGTAGCTAGCCAGCTAGCAAACCACAAAAATGGGAATCTTCACCCATGGCTTGTTTTTCTTAACTGAACAACATCATAAATGTTCTATTACCCGAAGAGCAATATACGGAAACAGAAAAATACATCACTGACTAACTCACATCTTACTCGGTGTGTTTACATGCACATCAGAAAACCGAAGCATTGCCCTAACCCAAACCCATGCACAGGTTCTAATCGAGCTGAAGCACCCAGATAATGCTGTAACAGTCCGATTTACATCCTACATGTAAACGGGTCAGCCAAACTAAAGCGGTAGGACGCTCCCGTTCCAGAGGCCATCGTCACAAAGCAACACTTGTAATGCCATTAAACAGGACCCTACGTACCAAATAAGCAGTGCTGTAGCGTTGTACTCTCCTTCAGCCGTTGTGAATATCCTGTCTCAGTTCTGTCTGCTTCACTCCCGCCAGCCTCTGTTTGCTGCTTGTGATGTTATATAGAGCCTAAGTCCCGCCCATCTACTTCCGGACCAATGTGGCTAAAACGCTATTTTCTAATTCCGCTTGTTGTGAACCATGAATTTCTCATATGATGTCTGTGAATTGTAAAGATGCATTTTGATACAAAGAAAGTGCTTATAGTAGAATGGGGGAAACGCTATTTTAGGTTTTGTGTGAAAATAAGTCCAGGACTACTTCTGTGCATGTGACGACATCGAAGCAGACACGGAGAAAAACAGGGAAAATGGCCGTAAGTTCAGTAAACTTCAAATCCTTCCCTCAGGAGGAAAGCACCACCACCATAAATCTGGTCCTGTGGTGAGTAGCAGCTACACTAGGGAGGAGGAGATTATGGTGACGTCATATATGCGTTGTACCGATGTCTGCTTTGTAGTCATACTAATTACGAACTTTTACAAACTGATAAATCTCAAAGTACGTGACTGGCGTGGTCGAAACACCCATTACTAGTTTTCATTTTAATAGAAGTACGTGTGTGATCCAGGGCGTAAGGCAGAGCAGATGAGAAAATAGCGTTTTTAGCCCCAATTGAAGTCGTTTGCATCTAGAACAGCTGTTTCTGAATAGCTGAACGAACTGTTTGTTGTGCCAGCTGTAGCGTGTAGCAGGTTTTGACAGCTTGTCAAGAGACGCGATGGTTCGAGAGTTTTCCCCCGGTGGACAGTCCGGAGTTATGCTCAAAAACTAACTGCAAGTGATTCTGTTTTAATATTCTCATGTTATGATTACATGGCCAGTCAGGACAAAAGAGGTTAAGAGGTGTTAACTAACAAACCTCAGAACACACGTCTTTTCCAGATATAAAAGATGCTCTAGTTCTGTGGATAAAGAATCCTTATGTGCATGACGTTAACTGTAATTTATCTCTACTGAACATTGTGTCTGAGTGTAGATAATGATTCACTTGTTAAACCAAACATTACTGATCATAACATCAAAATGTTTCATTGTAATATTAAAATTAATTTCAACTTCATTGAATTTGGCACAGATTATTCAAACATCATTATTAGTATTCGTATAACATTTGTCCATTCAACCATATTATTTAATGATTATTTAACATATGAGTTGTGAAAGTTCATCTTTCACGAGTGTGCAATCCTGCGGTCTTATCAAAAGAAGGCTTTGTTTGGGAACATCGGCTGACATTTTGTTCCCCTGAAATGTCAACAAGGATGGCAGAATCTTCTGGGCTTTAGAAGACAGGATAGAAACTCCACTCCGGTAGTGGAACTAGGTCTGTAGGTGACCGGACATCGTGTAGGTCAATATGTAGGTGAAAACTGACCATTTCTGGACGTTACAAACTAGTAACTTAAACCCATCAATGGTTACAAAGATGAAGGTTCAAGGTGCAGAATTTTAAAACGTGTGTTTATTTATTATTTGTGATGTTATATACCAGAGATCACTAATAGGCGGACCTGGGTCCGGATCCGGACCGAAATGCTGTCTGGTGTGGACCCGAGCCTAATGCCAAAATAAAGTTCGCCTAATTTTATAACCGCTTCTGGCCGGTGCAGCTATTGCATTCTTTACGGTAGTATTCTAGCATCCACGAACACCCACAGGCCAATTGTGCGCGAGTTTAGCCAGACCACGTGACACCAACAAGCCAATAACATGTTGCATTCCTGCCAGAAAATACAGGCGATACGTAGCGAAAATAAACGGTTCAGACGCCGGAGAGAAGGAGAGCAGCGAAGAGCAGAAATTCGAACAGAGAAAACGAGAGATTCAGGCGGAGAGCAGTGGAAAGAAGGAGACATTCAGGCAAAGAACAGGAGAGCAGCGACAAGGAGAGATTCAGGCGGATGAGACGGAGAGAAGTAGAAAAAGCAGAAATGGCAGCCTCTAAAAAACGGAACGTGGACAGCGAAAATAGAGCATTTAATCCAGAATGGACAGAGTCATTTCTCTTTGTTCTTCCCACTGGTGGCACAAAACCTGTTTGTCTCATATGTTCAGAAACAGTGGCACTTATTAAAAGTGGCAATGTGAAACGCCATTATGAGACAAAACACAAATGTTTTGAAGAAACATATCCCCTCAGATCAGAAGTAAGATCAGAGAAAATACGTAGTCTCAAAGCCCAATATGAACAGTCCACCAGGATCCTGAGCCACACGTTCACTGCTCAGCAACGAGCCCATGAGAGTTCCCTCAGAGTTTCTTGGATTTTGGGTCAGCACAAAAAACCATTTACTGATGGAGAGGTTGTCAAAGAGTGTTTGACAGCAGTTGCTGAAACACTGTTTGAAGGAAAAGAAAAACAAGAAGTTTGTGAAAAAATAAAGCAAATCCCCATATCAGCATCATCTGCTACAAAGAAAAGTGAAATACTGACTCAGGATGTTGTAGCCCAGCTAGATGAAGCCATACAGAAGGCACCATGTGTAGGTTTGGCTGTGGATGAGTCCACTGATGTGTGTGATAATGCTCAGCTGTTGGTTTATGTGAGGTTTTATTACACAGAGCAGGAAGCATTCTATGAAGACCTGCTGGGTATTACTCCTCTTCAGACCAGCACAACAGGAGAGGACATCTACCTGGCCATTATGGAGATGTTGGCAAAGAGAGGAATTGAGCCTTCAAAAGTGATTTCAATAACTACAGATGGAGCCCCTGCTATGATAGGGAGAGAAAAGGGAGCTGTAACAAGAATGAAGAAAGACAACCCTGACCTCTTAACCTACCATTGCATTATTCATCAATCTGTCCTCTGTGCCTCCCTGTCAGATGAGCATGCTGAGGTGATGACTTCAGTGATGAAAATGATCAACTTTCTTAGAGCGTCCTCTTCCTACCAGCATCGCATGCTTAGAGAATTCCTCAAAGAAGTTGATGCCAATGCTGATGATCTTCTGCTGCACAACAATGTGAGATGGCTCAGCAAAGGCAGAGTTTTAGCACGCTTTTGGGCCATCAGGAGGGAAGTAGCATCTTTTTTGGCAGAGCTAAAACATCATAAGGCAACACAGTTTTCTACATTTCTAGAAAATGAGAAGCAGATGGACAATGTTGCCTTTTTGGTTGATATAACTTCACATCTAAATGAGCTGAACTTGAGGCTACAGGGCAAGGACAATTCCATTTGTGAACTAATGACAGCTGTCCGTGCCTTTCAGAGAAAACTTGAAATGTTCAAGGAGGACTTGCAGGAAGACTGTGTCCACTTCCCAGCAGTGCAGGAACAGGTTCAGGGACAGCGAGATGTCTCGTCGTTTGTTGTCTTCATTGATAAGCTTATTGCTAACTTCAGCAATCGTTCTGATAGCTTCAGCATTTGCCAGCAGCTCACCATGTTCATTCAGAATCCATTCCTCATCACAGATGTCAGGAGCTTCTCAAAGGAAGCCACACAGCATTTTAAATGGGTCAATGCCAGGGATCTTCAGATGGAGTTAGTTGACCTCCAAGCAAACTTGGCCATGAATGAACTGTCTGCCAGGACTGACCCTTCCTCATTCTGGCTCCAAATGGTTCCTGAGACAGCTTTCTCAAGTCTAAAGAAAGTAGCCCTGTACATCCTGACCATGTTTGGTTCCACCCACAACTGTGAGGCAGCGTTCTCCACAATGAACATTATAAAAAACAAATATCGTTCCAGGCTCACCAATGAGCATCTCCACACATGCATGAGGATGGCTCTGTCTCCATTCAAGCCCAGGTTCAAAATGTTGGCAGGACAAGCAAGAGCTCACTTCTCTCACTAAGTAAAAATGTGGAAAACATTAACCTAAATATATGTTCAGTTATTACATGTGTGCAGAGTCACATTTTTTAAAATCATTTTAAGACTTTTTAGTTCGCACGTGAAGAGGAAAAATGTAAAAAATTAAGCTTTTTCTACATTTATTCTGAAGTTAGTAGTTTGTGAAGATTCAGTTGCCATGTGTTATTTTCTTGTTGACACTTTTTTCTACTTTTATTTAGTAAATGAGAGAACATTCCAAATAAATCATTTACATGTTCAACACTTTAAGTGACAATAAATGTCATAGGTATTTGAATTACACTGAAGTATTTCTGATTTGATATGCAAATTAATAATGCAGATGTTGATAAAACTGCTAGGATACTTAAATACATGTCACATTATTGTAGGTCGGACATAATTATCTTTCGGACCTTGGGCTAAAAAAATTCTTTCTGACTGGACCTTTTTAAATAGTATTTTTATACCCCTGTTATATACGGAACAGAGAAAAGCACACCAAAGAGAGGTCTGAGGTGAGAGCGCTCACTCTGTCGTGTTTCTTTCTGTACAGACGACATAACGAAGATTCTTTGTAACGGAGACGTCTTACTTTGATCTGTTTTCAAAATCATAAAACGTTTAAACCTTTTTAACACGGTAAATGGCCTGTATTTGATGTAGCACCTTCTAGAGTCCTAGAACCCCCCAAGGCACTTTACAACACAGTCATTCACACATTCACACGCTGGTGGGGATGAGCTACGATGGAGCTGACTGAGGCGAGGCTGCCGTACACCGGAGCCACCAGTCCCTCCGACCACCAGGCAAGGGCGTAAGTGTCTTGCCCAAGGACACAACAGCAGCGACAGACTGAGCGAGGCTGGAACCTGCAACCTTCCGATTACAGGGCGAGCACATAACTCCTGTGCCGCTGTTGCCCCATGAATTTATTTGACCTATTTTATTAATTTATGAAACTTTTTCTCATCATGAACTAATTTATTTACGGGCTAAAGGCGCCACAGAGTGTTGGTTAGGATCATCTCGGGGAGAATGAGATTCAGCTGACGAATTAAACATGACCTTTTTACCTGTTGACTAAAAGCCATTGGGCAGCCTCGACATTAAAATAGTAGAAATTCAGTGTAACTAGACTTTACCATCTACAGACATATGAACTGGGTTCATGTTGTTAAGGACTTTTGTCATAAATCATTACAGAAAATCCAAATCCTCTCCTTCAGACAGCGAAGATCAGTGTTCTGCATATGTCACTCCAACACGTAGAACAAGCTAGCTGCTGTACTGTGAATGACTGTATTTTATTTAGTGTTGTGCTCTTAATTATTACAGAAAACAGCATTTACAGCTGCAGCAAAAGGTCTGAGCCACATGTCCGTGTCCTACACGCATTTTTAATAACAGGTCTGATCTAAAATTATAACCTACACCCCGATTCTCCCAGTCCCAGGGTGGACACTCTACCACTAGACCACTGTAGCTGACTCAGCAGATCTACTTGTGACACATCACCAGCTGTCCAGAGCTTGGACAGGAAGCTGGCTTCTGTTTTTCCAGCGCCAGTCACAAACATCAGATTTTATTGATTCCAGCCGTGAAAATCCCAAAACGTTTTCATCTGAGGTTACACGTGCTGTCCCGAGGAGTTATGCCTCTGGCCAATAGCTTTAAACTGAGCTAGTTGTCATTAGCACCGATGATGTTTAAAGCTTAAGTTTGCATGATACAGGAGAGGTGTGATGTTAGAAACATAGATGTAGTTTTTCCTTTTTTTATCTGGGGGGGGGGGGGGGGGCACATATCAGTATTATGATTTAGACCGTATGACTGATAATGCTAACATCGATATTCTCGAACATCATTAATGTAAAGGTTATGTTTACTGTTGCATGAAGTGATGCATTGTGGGTATCCTGTCAGCTGTTCAGCAGCCTTCAGGAGAATGAGTCAAACAGTCCAGTTAGTGGGAGCCTCCTCCACGAGTCAGCGCTTTGATCAGCCCTGATCTGAGGAGGATCATTTCTGCACATGTTTGACCTTCAGCTGTTTTCTCCCTTTTTCCAGAAGCTGAAGACTGAAGAGGGATTTCCAAGCATCTTCTGAATCCTCAGACTCTTGTCATCACGGCTTAGGAGGGAGTACTTGTGGCTGCCATGGTTACCATTTACATCCCGTTTATATATTTTTTTTACACTTTATTTTGGTGGTAAAGGAAATGTGGCGAGGAGCAAAATGAGAGGAACACATCGACTGAAAACAGAAGGTCTTAGTTATTTTTTAGATTTGATCGTCTCCGTAGAGCCGGATAACAACACTACATGGACCGAATGTATTTATTGTCTTTAATGATTTATAACCATCCAGTGATTTCACCTGTGCTGCTGTCGCCCCGTCCCCTGTCCTCCATCCCTCTCTTGGACACCAGTTTAAAGTCTTACTCTGAACCCTTTAGTTTTGATAATGTGAAAGACTCCATCCAGAGACGACTGCAGCGTTCCATCCTCTTCCACACCCGGAGGATCCGTGGATGTATTTATACTGAACTCTCTCTCAAACCATCTTCTGACTGTTTTCCATTTCATTTTCCACTCCAGGAGCATCTCGTTGGTTCCTCCTTTCTCTCTAGCGGTTTAGATATCCCGAGAACAGTTTTTGCATTTAATTATTTAAAGATTATAGAGGAGCAAAAGCACTTTATCTGTACCTTGGTGGCCTGCTGTAAACTCACTGTCTGAAACACTATCCCACCATACAGCCTTGGTAGGCAGCAGTGCACTTCTCCGCCCAGTGGGCGAGTGTCTGTTGCCTTGGAAACAGAAAATCTTCCATAGTTTTTAAAAAAGTTTATTTTTAGTCGTCTGATTCACGGGAACACACACACTAGAGACATCAAACCTTGTCCCGGTTCGGGTGGAGAACGTTTTAGCGCTCCTATGCATCGTCACTTAAAGCTTTATGAGTTTAGGACAGACGCATGAGCTGTGAGACTTGCTGTGAACTCTGCTGCAGAGCTGCAGCTGCAGCTGGCTGGCTGCAGGATCGAGTCAAAGTGGCGGCTCCAGTTAAGACGTTTAACTCTACCTGGAAACTTTCACCGCAGTTTGTCACAAATGTCATATTTATTCAGTCAGTTGATTTGAGCTAACGTCGCTAACTGTGAAGCTAACTTCTGCTAAAAATGCCCACGGAGCTGGTCTATAACCAGGTTACGAAGTTTTCATTTTGGAGCGGTTTTCAAAAAGCTGAAACATTTTATAACTTGTCTCTTGGATTAAACTTAGTTTAATCAGAACAAATGTCTTTTTCTCCAAACTGAGGTCATTCAAATGGCTGTCAACCACCAGTAAGAGGAGAATTATTCACAACTCCTAAAGATGTAAATGAAACATTAAATTCTGTTTGGGTCTAGTTCACCTTTCTGATGATTTACAAGAGCAAACTGCAGGCAGCAAAAAGTTTTATTGTTTAAATATGGCAGCAACACGCTCTGACTAGCCGTTAGCTCATCAGTCCTAAAGGATGTAAACCCAGTTTCTTCATACTGAGGCTGTTCAGGAACCTGTCTACATCAGGTAAGAAATGAGAACTTTTACACACAAACACTGAAGATTGCACATTACACTTCCAGCCAACCAGCGGCTTCGTTCCGCCGGTCTGGAAACAGGAAACGGGCTCTCTGTTGGCCGTGTTTAGTTAGTTTTTATCCCGTTAAATGAGAGAGCAGCTATCTTCTCATCTGAGGCTTTTTTAATTTTAATGAGCTGCTTTTGCGCCTGAGACGAGTCATTCATCAGGATCTTCCCGTCTACGACCAACGTGGCCCTTGTTGCACGTGTCGGTTGTGTTCTCGGCGACTCTTTGGTTTTCTATTTTTACATGTACTGTAAATACAATAAAATATACAAGCAATATCTGTGCAGTTGTGGATCCGTCATTGGTGACCGGAGGGCTCTGTGTCCATATTGAACATGTTAATGTATATTTTATGATTAAAATTGATTGTTCAGTTTATCATGTGTTGCTGTTTTTACTTTAGCATTAGAGGAAACTGGAGTAGGTGTATGAAAGATAATTGCATTAAGATTTAAAACCTTTTAGCTCCACAGCCAGATAAAAACTGGTTCATTTCCTGTGATTTGAGGGAATATTTATAAAGGGATGTAAGAAAATTATTGATATGGCAATTTATCAATATTCAAAAGTGTATTTGGAAGAATTTCCATGGAAACATTTGTGTATTTTCTTTTCTTTTGTTATTGGTTCAATTGAAGAGTCAACCACTAGTAAGCAGCAGTGTTATGGTTCAGATACCACATGTTGACATGTTATGCATCAGTTTAGATTGTTTATTGAATTTCTACAATACAGTCTAAAAAATTGCCAATATCTAATATCCATAGCTGCACCCCCTGGCCCTACGTGCATGTTTGTGTGGTGATGTGAATGTCAGAGGAGGGAAATGTCTGAGAATGGGGAGGAATGGCTGGTGAGCCTGAGCCCTGCAGGGAGCCAGCTCCCTCACTGACCTCAACAGGTACCCCCGTTCCCAAAATCTACCCGGGGCATGGAGACTCCAGGACCCAAACAGCAGCAGAACATCTGCTGTTTCCCACATTTGGTCAACTTCCAGATTACATTAGACACAAGACACCCAGGTAAAGTTAGGTCCACAAGACACCCAGGTAAAGTTAGGTCCTCCCCTTTCCAGACATCCTAGAGGTGTGTCACTTGTCTTTCGATTCGATTACGATTATTGGGTCAACGATTCGATTCGATATCCCGATGCATCACAATTATTTCATATTGATTTGTTTTCATCGATAAATAGAAGTCAGATAATTGCTTTTTATTTTTTTAATCAAAAACGTAATTGACACAACCTGCCATCCCTCAAAAGCTCTCCATTCACAACAAGTTAGGACAAAACATTTTAAACATTTAAGAAGATTTAACAAAGTAAAACAATCTGTTTCCTCGTTCAACACCACGCCTCAGGCTGAGAAAAACACGCTTTGCAAAAACTCACAAAATCTAAAAAAGTACTGAAAACCTACAGGACACATAATGTAATAATAAAATACATAATAGGTTCATATATGAGTGTTTAATGTCTCCGAGCAGCTCTAGAGTCAAATATTTATGCCACAGTTGAAGGGTGTCAGAAATAACACCAAATGAAATGTTTGACCTAGTTTGTTATTTTATTTGAACCCAGTGGTTCATTTCTGAAATGTTGGAGAATGAATCAAGTTCTATTTCGTCTAGTCTTAGCCCTTAAGCTAGCTGCTATTGGAAGGATGATCTCCACATCAGCCAATCATGAAGAGCTTAAATGTACGCCCACCAATAGTGGGCCCCCTCGTGGTATATAACCGCAGTGACCCCACTGCTCACCTCCTTTTTCTCTTCATGCCAAGCTTGAGAGCTTTATTAAAGAGCAAATATTATCCCAAAAGAGCAAAATTATCCGAAGACGACTTACCAGCCATGTCCAGCGACGCCAGACCCTGCCCGACCTGCCAGACGGGCTCCATTTCCAGCGGCGACCTGCACGCTAAGTGTGAGGTCTGTCTCGGGGCTCACCACGCTGGCCTGGCCTTGACCCCGCAGGCCTCGTGCCCGTTCTGTGCCGCTCTGCCCGTGGCGGAGAAGATTCGCTGGGTCGAGTACTTCACTCCCACCGCCGACGAAGAATTTCCGGTGGCTGACTCCTACCCGCTGGACAAGGCTTTGGTTTTCTTCGACGCCGGTCAGGAGCCGGCTGGCTTCAACCGGCTGGATGACGTCACCGACAGCGAAAACTACGATGAGGCGGCATCCCTCCTAGACATAACGGAGGTTGACGAGCTTCGCTCAGCGGGTCCTTCTGCCCCAGTGGCTTCTCGCTCCTCCCTGCCAGCAGTAAGAGCACTGCTCCAGGAGCTGCCCGCCATCATTTCTGCGGCAGCAGCCCGCAAGGGGCTAGCTGTGCCAGAACCGGCCCTGCCTGAAGCGGATGATTTGGCGGGAATTTTCGGGGCAACTCAGACACGCTGTCCAGACCCTGTCTGGCCGCGCTTCCCCGCTGCTATGAGCTGCTGGTCTGCCGCCTTCTCCGAGCCTGCCAAGCTCAAGGCGCCAGTCTCCACGTATGCGCCCATCACCAAGGTCGAGGGGTTTTCCGACCAAGGCTGGCCGTCCGTTCCTCCACTAGAACCGGATTTGGCCTCGCTGTTCGGCGCCAAGAACCACCTCGCTGGCCCGCGAGCTGTTCCCGCTTCAAAACATGACCAGCTGCTGACGCGGCTCACCGACCGCGCACATCAGTGTGCCTTTCAGACCGGCGCTGCAGGGAATAACATCGCCCTTCTTGCCTTCGGCGTCTCCAAGATGATGGAGGAGCTGGAAGCTCCCGAGGAGTCGAAAGCCGTCATAACTAAGACTGCTGATGCTATCCTCAATCTGTGTGCTGCTGTGCTCACCGGTTCTGCTCGCATCGCTGCCTGGCAGACCCTCATCCAGCGAGCGATCTGGCTGAAGGCCCTGCCCTCCATTCCGGAACATCTGCAAAGGGAGATGCTGGATGGCCCCATCACCACCGATGTTCTGTTTGGTCCCCATCTTAGGGGCGTCATTGAGAGGGCTCAGAAGACGGCCGAACTATCGGCTACGGTGCGAGACCTGGTCCACCCTCGGTCAGCCTCGAAATCCGGCCGTTCAGCCAGAGGATGGGACGAACGGCGCGGAAGCTTCAGACGTCCAGCTGCACCGCCCGCTCCACGGAGCCGGCCTCCCGCTTCGGCTCCACATCAGCGGGACCAGCGAGATGGCGGACAGCGGTTCCGGCGGGGCCAGCAGACGCCGTCTTGGCAGTCCCAGGTGCAGGAGCCTTGCCGAAAGCAGCCACGGAAGTGACTCTTTGGGGGAATGTGTGTGTTACTGATTGTTCTGATGTTGGTTTTGAAATAAAACCCAAAAAACGTCACTCAAAGAGCACAATCCTACAGTCCTCCGCAGAATCCTCTGCCGAGTTTTCACACATGTTCCCCACACCAAGCACTGCTGCACGCACACATGTTCCTGCAGGTAGTCATAATACACGGCCAGCCGTAAGGGTGCGCTCCATTTGCGCTCTGGCCCCAGCATCCGGCCAGGCCCAACTCTTCCCGCTCTCCCCACGCCGTTGGTGGGGCGGGATGTCATGTCGCTGTCTCGACCACGCGCGGCTCCATCCGCTAGCACTCTGTCGCCCCAGTGCACAGGCCCGGCTCCCACTCGTCCTTCACTCTCGGACTCCACGCTCCGCGGTGTGGACCAGCCTGTTCCAGCTGTTTCGCACTCGCCCTTTCGAGCGCAGCCCTCCATGGGTCGCCCCCAGTTCTCTAGTACGGGCGACGGCGGTAAGGGCGCATGCACAACCCTCAGACGTTGTTCACGTGACCGCGCACACGCGTCCGCTGTCGGAACGCGCGCACGAGTGGCGCCGCCTTTGCATCATGAGCAAATGGATTTCGGACACCATTCATTGCGGTCACACACTTCATTTTCAGGCCACTCCACCTCCCTTCAACGGGATCGTGGAGACGACGTTCACATCGCAAGTACAGTCTCAGGCGCTAGAGCTGGAGCTGCGGGAACTTCTGTCCAAAGACGCTATTTCCCGAGTCCCTCGCGGACAAGAACTCTCGGGTTTCTACTCCCGCTACTTCGTAGTACCGAAGAAGTCGGGAGGAATGAGGCCGATTCTCGACCTGTCCCTGTTCAACTGCTCCATAGCAGTAATGCATTTCCGCATGTTAACGATGAGACAAGTCCTGGAATATGTGCGCCCCGGGGATTGGTTCACGTCAATCGACCTGAAAGACGCATACTTCCACATACCAGTAGTTCCAAACCACCGGAAGTTTCTGCGTTTTTCGTTCAAGGGAGTTCAATATCAGTTCAATCGCCTCCCTTTCGGCTACTCGCTAGCCCCGCGCACCTTCTCCAAATGTCTGGAGACCGCGCTGCAGCCACTGCGCACGGAGGGAATGAGGGTCTTATTTTACCTGGACGATCTTCTCCTGTGCGCTCGGTCCAAGGACGAGGCGTCACAGCAAACCAGGAGGTTGACAGGGCATCTGTCAACCCTAGGGTTTTCTATAAACTGGGAAAAGAGCTCCATCCTTCCATCCCAGTCGATTGTGTATCTCGGGGTGGAGTTGGACGCCTCCCTAATGAGAGCACGTTTGTCGCCTGCAAGAGCGGCAGATCTCTCCACGGTGATCTCCCGTGTTCAACCCCGCAAGATCGTGAGAGCCCGGTTAGTCATGAAACTCCTGGGCATGATGTCCGCAGCCCATTCAGTGGTGCCGCTAGGTTTGCTGCGCACGAGGCGCTTGCAACGCTGGTTCGTCCGCCTCCGGGTACACCCGATACGTCAGAAGAGACGTATGTTGAGGATTCCCCCTTCAGTGGGCGGGGACCTCACTCACTGGGGGAACCCCTGCATCCTCTCACGCGGGGTTCCCATCGGACGTCCTGCGTCACACGTATCTGTGTTTACGGATGCGTCACTGTCGGGGTGGGGGGGCACGTGCTTGTCCCATACGGTGGCAGATCGCTGGCCCTCCCACACGCACGAGCACATAAATGTGTTGGAGCTTATGACAGTGAGGAATGTGATCAGACACTTCGCTGCCCTTCTAGAGGGCCGTCATGTCGAAGTTCACACAGACAACCGGGTAGCGGCAGCCTACATAAATCGCCAAGGGGGAGTTCGATCCCTCCCACTGTTGCATGTCGCCACAGATTTACTGTGTTGGACACATGTCCACCTGCTGTCCATCAAAGCCATCTACATTCCGGGGGTACTGAATGTAGCGGCAGACATCCTGTCGAGAGGGGGACCCCGCGACTCCGACTGGCGTCTACATCCTGCACTGATATCACAGATCTGGATCAGGTTCGGGGAACCGTCTGTGGATCTGTTCGCGGCTCGCGAAAACGCTCAGTGTCGCCTGTGGTTTTCCCTGAGTCCCCGGGACGGACCCCCGCTCGGGGCGGACGCTTTCTCACACCAGCCCTGGCCTCGAACGCTCCTTTATGCGTTTCCACCAGTCCCTCTGATTCCCCGTCTCCTGGACCGAATTCGGTCGGAACAGCTCTCTGTGATTCTGGTGGCTCCCAGACGCGTGTCCGCGTCATGGTTTCCGGACCTGCAAGCGCTAGTGTCCGGCTCCCCGTGGAGGCTCCCGTGGAGGGCGGACGCCCTTCTCCAGGCGGATGGGATAATCAAACATCCTCCGGAAATAGGCCAACGGCTGTGGGTCTGGCCGCTGAGCGGTCACGCTTAGAGGCTTCTGGGCTGCCGCATGATGTGGTCGCCACGATTCAGAGTGCGCGGGCACCCTCTACCATTGCGTCCTACGCTGCTAAATGGGCAGCTTTCCAGAACTGGTGCGCAGAACGGAATGTTCAAGCGCTCTCCTGCCAGCTGGCGGATGTCCTATCGTTTCTGCAGATACTGATGGACAGGGGCCTCGCATTCAGCACTGTTAAGACATATGCTGCAGCTATCTCATCATGTCATCAGGGTTTTGGAGATAGATCTGTTTTCAATCATCCCCTCACAAAACGTTTTCTAAAAGGTGTCAGGAGGAACAGACCTGTGTCCCGCCCGCTTTTCCCCCAATGGGATCTAACAGTGGTTCTGCGTGGCTTATCTGAAGCTCCATTTGAACCCTTGGACCAGGTCTCACTCAAGTTCCTGTCGCTTAAAACTGCATTGCTGCTGGCGCTAGCATCAGTTAAAAGAGTGAGTGACCTAACCGCCCTCTCAGTGGCTCCCGCATGCCTCAGGATCCGGGAGGATGGCGGGTCTGCTGTTTTATGCCCCAACCCAGCCTTTGTGCCCAAAAGCATTAATGCTTCCTTCAAATCCAGGTCAATTTCATTGGCTGGACTTTTTCCTCCTCCCCATAATTCTGAGGAGGAGGCGGCTTCTCACCTTCTCTGCCCGGTGCGCGCTCTTGCACGATATGTGTCACGCACTTCAGGGATTCGTCGCTCACAAAACCTGTTTGTGCACTACAGGGAGTCTTCCCTTGGTCAGGCGCTGTCGGCCCAGCGTCTTTCACACTGGCTGTGTGACGCCATTTCCCTCGCTTACACATCATCAGGGCAGGATCCCCCTGAGGCACTCAGGGCTCACTCAGCCAGAGGGATTTCCTCTTCGATGGCGCTCCTCAGTGGTGTGTCAATGGAAGACATTTGTCAGGCTGCTTCATGGGCTTCACCCTGTTCCTTTACTCGTTATTATTTACGAGATGTGTCTTCAGGATCCATCACTCGTTCAGTGCTTGGACCCCAGCAGGCTAAATGAATGCTTATGGCACCTCATTGGCCTTGCTGAGATGGATTTCATCCTCTTGTGGATGATGTTTTTTAGTGGGGGCCCCTCTCTTATCGTGCCTGCCTCAGTCTTTAAGCCTGGTCTGAGGCTGAACGTCCCCCACTAGAGGAGATTTGATTGGGTGTGTCCATTGGTTGTGTTAACCAGTGGGGCGTAAACCCATCCAGCTGCGCTTTATTCCAATAGCAGCTAGCTTAAGGGCTAAGACTAGACGAAATAGAACGTTGGTTACGTATTGTAACCCCAGATTCTATGAGTCTAGTCGCAGCCCTTAAGCCACTGGCCCCACTGGTTATGATGGGAATAAGAGCCATTGGAGGTGAGCAGAGGGGTCACTGCGGTTATATACCACGAGGGGGCCCACTATTGGTGGGCGTACATTTAAACTCTTCATGATTGGCTGATGCGGAGATCATCCTTCCAATAGCAGCTAGCTTAAGGGCTGCGACTAGACTCATAGAATCTGGGGTTACAATACGTAACCAACGTTCTGTTTGATGCAGAAAATAATAAAACATAAAACAATTTCTACACTTCCAATAATATTTAAGATGTGTGTTTTATTCTTTCTGATAATAACACCAGCAGAAGGCTGTGGGCTGGATTAGGATTAAATTACCCAGCTGATGGATCTCTTTCACTAACCAGCTAACTACAAAACTTTCCACTAACCTGTCCTGTGTAACCCTCACCCTTTAACCCTCATGTCCATGCTGTCTCTGGAGGAGCAGATAGGAGACAAGACCTCCTGTAACCTAAAATGAACCAAAGCTTCCTCCCAGTTTCTCTTTAAGCTGAATTTAACATCAAACAAAAGAATAAAGTGGAACAAGAACTTCTATCTTCTATCTCTCTCGCCTTTTAACTTCTCCGTGTTCCTAAATAAAAGAGACAGACGATCACGCTGCAGCCGCCGTCATTGACACCGCCCCCTCCCCAAGACCGGATCTCCCTACATTACAACAAGCAGTCTGACTGAGGAGAAATAATAATTAAATTATGAAAATAACGCGTGTTTGGAGCATCGGTTTGGAGGAGCGTCCTCCGATCGTCTCTCTTGTGTGAGCAGACAGTCTCTCTCTCTCTCTCTCTCTCTCTCTGTTGCTGATCGAGCGAGCGGAGCGCGCAGCACGACAACCCGCTCAATTAACATAATTCACGGCCCAAATCCAACAGAACCGGTCGGGCTGATTCGGTTCCGGTTTGGTCTCAGGTTACAACTCCAGCGCTCAGCCCTGCAGTACCACATTAAGGCGGAGGTAAATGTGGAGGACGCTCACTCTGACAGATCTGGATGGTGCGCTGGTGCCGCCATTAAAAAAAACAAAACTACATTCCACTATAATCGATTATGGCGTACTTTTCTACGATGCAGAATCGTTTATGTCCGCATCCTGATGCATCGATTATTTGATTATTTTCCTCAGCTCTAATCCTCATCCCTGTGATGGAATGGATGTGTTCCTGCCAGTTCAGGAGGAACCAGGGTCCACCTGATGCCCCCTGAGACAGAGCCAGACACCGCTGCACGCTCTGCCCTCTATCGGCAGCATACAAGCCCGTTCCAACCAGGGACAACCGTCCCTATGCCACCAGACCCACTCAGGGGTGGTGCAGCCACCAGGCAGCAACCTGTGGCCACCGTCAATACCTCCCAAGGCCCCGCACATGACCACTAGAAGCCCACCCACCCCACATCGCCCAAGAACCACCAGAATGTGGCAGCAGCCCCCTAGCACCAGACACCCCTAGTAAACCCTCCCCCAGGGAATCTCAAGATGCTTCAAATTCAGACTCTCCTCCACATCTACCATGGTATCCTGTAGGACAATATCAATGACCCTCCATCATCGCTATGCGATGGAACTGATCAAAGGAGCCCAGAGAGATTGATCTGGAGTGGTGGCAAAGGCTGTCTCAAGTGTAATATAATCCAACAAGATTTCTAAACTGGTTAATGCAAAGACTATCTCTATTTTTCTAGTGTTTGAGGAGAGTTTTCTTGGCGATGCAAATGGCAGTCAGAACCACATTAACCAGATTGGTTTCAGTCAGGACATCATCCAGGTTTCCTAGCAAACCAAATGAGGGGGAAGCTGGGATATCACATTTCAGGCACTTTGACAGGTCTTCACATTACAGCAGAATCCCTGACCAGGACCACAGTGTATGGATATAATTGTCAGGAATGTTTTGTGTGCAGGTGTCAGACAGCACACACAACATTCTGACTTCTGATGACCTGTATAATGAACTCTGCAGAAATTTGTACTGAATTAATTGTAAATTGGGGTTCCTGGTCAATTGAAACATTTTTAAATAACTCTGAGACCAGAAATTCTGGTCAAAGCTGACTGATCGATCCACCTCCCATTATTCTATAGGAATTGCTGTAGAATCATCTATTTTGGCTCTGCTGACTCTAACAGTTAGCTTCTACTAGCCGAGATGTTCTCTGCTGTTTCCTGGACTAAACCAACAACAGCTTCCCCGTCGTGAGTCCAGATGGGTGAGTCCATGAATGTTAGTGACAGTGTGATATAGATCTGTCAGGATTTTCTATCCTAGAGTTTCACCATCTGTTTTCTATCAGAAGCTGAATGCTGGAGATAGGTGTAGGAGACTATTTTCATGTTCAGCCTGTATGAAGCACTCAGGGTGGCCCGAATCAGAGATAATCATTTAAATGTGTTTTTTCAGAGATTTTTTTTTGTTTAAGTATTACAGCAAAAAAATCAAATGTATGCCTGAGTCAGAAAAAAGTGGTTCTGAGTTTTATCCGGTCTGCTCGGACAAGAATTGATTGATTGGTGAAAAAGTGTGGTACAGGCGAGTCTTTGAAGTTTCCATGTCTCTGTTAAACTCTCGATCCCTGTGAGTCATTCCGTTGGTTTGCTCCTCCTCTTGAGGACTTCCACATTCAGTAGTCCGTTGGGTTGCAGACCAAACTCGTTGCCACTTAGTCACTTGTTTGACTGAATGAACCAAATCCTTCTGAGTTTGTTGGAAATGTTGCTTCATCTGGCCAGAATACAAAGTAATCTGGATACAAACTGGGAAAAGTTTGTAAATCCCAATGTGGCTGAGTCAGCCTGGAGTCCAGAACCAGATCTCCAGTGTAAAGTTGACCTCACTCTTAAGATGAGGAATGATGAGAACCATTTAGAACATCCGTGCTGAAGCAGGACTTTTCTCACCAAATCAAGACTCAAAGCATGTAAACCAAGTCAAACATGACCACTCTTCTCCACATAAGTGTATTGCTGCCACCCTTTCAAAGTAAAATCTATACCACGTAATAACATGAAAAGTTTATTGCTTGAACTACATCTAAAAGATTTTTACATTATTGATGTCTATGTACTGATTGTGTAAAACATTAAAATGTGTCTGTAACAATGTAAAATAATTTAAGGACTTTTCACATGCTGTAGCACTTTTATTTTGAAAGAGTTTCAGGATTTTAAACTCTTTGAAAGTTCTTTTTACTAAGCTGATTGCATTTGAAACTCTCCAGTTTGCAGCAGAGCCTGTCTCAACCAGTCCCAGTGTTGATATCAAAACAAGCACACACACACACACACACACACACACACACACACACACACACACACACACACACACACACACACACACACACACACACACACACACACACACACACACACACACACACACACACACACATGCCTACACAACAAATGGGATCCGCCTCCTAGTATTTCCTGGAGTGCATGGAAACCCACCATGAGCTACTTTACCCACATACCCTGATGTACACACCATCGACATACATATATGGACAATGGGTTTCCATACTCCAATAACACGTTTTTGAAGAAAAATGGGAGGTGGCCACCACTGCCATTTTGACCGTGTCACAGGTTCCGTCAAGCCCAGACAATTCCACAAAAGGGAAGACAGGTGGAGCTGAGGGTGGGGCTGTAAGGCTGGGATCAAATGACGACACTCGGTTGAACTAGCTACAAGCTAACCTGAAGCTAACCCAAAGCTAACGCGGAGGTGGGAGCTAAGCTAATGGAGGTAGCTACCTAGCTACAACTGGAGCTAACTCTGTGGAACACCAGCGACCTGAAGCTCACACGGAGTTTGTGTGGAGGTTTGTGGCGCTTTTTCATGAAAACTATCTTTCTGTGAATAAAAAAGTATTAAATTGGTGAGTTTATGTTATTTCCTTAATGAAAATATATTTTTCTTTGAGCAAGTTTTCAATATTTTTAGCGTACCATATTTTCCGGACTATAAGTCGCTCCGGAGTATAAGTTGCACCAGCCATAAAATGTAAAATGAAGAAGAAAAAAACATATATAAGTCGCACTGGACAATAAGTTGCATTTTGGGGGGAAATTTCATTATTTTTCTTACAAAATCTTAGACCAAGCGTTTCACATTGCAAGACAAGTACGGGTAACTATAACAGAATAAATGCGGGCGCAGAAGCGCACCACGGTCTCCAGTAGAGGATGGAGGTGTTTGAAACCCTCCCAGCGGGCCAGGGGAGCTCATTCCTAGGTCGGAGCCAGCCCGCAGCAGCGCACCACAGGCTGCAGCAGGTGATGGTGGGGCAGAGGAGCTGAAACCTGGGCCGGATCCAGTGTGCAACAGGCTCCAGCAGGTGATGGCTGTGTGGTTTTTATTCCCAGCGGGACAGGGAAGCTCATTCCTGCTCCAGAGCCGGCCTGCAGCAGCGTCGTATAGCCTACATAATTTGGTATATAAGTTGCTCCGAAGTATAAGTCGCAGGACCAGCCAAACTATGAAAAAAAGTGTGACTTATAATCCGGAAAATATGGTAGTTATTAGTATCTGAGATAAATTAGCAGGCTAAATACATTTCATAAATTTCCAAAACGTAATACTTGTTTGTATCTCGTACAGCCAAGTAGCCTTTATTCTGGACTCAGTACAATTCACCAAAAGTAAAGAGACATACAGATGAAGTAAGGACAAGATAACGTACTGGAAGAAACAGAATTATCATGAGAACCAGAACAAGAGAGCCTGATAACAGTCATGTGAAAATAACAATTAAAAAGTATGTATGTGTAGTAGAAATAAAAATATATTAGAATTAGTGTAACTCACTGTGATCCAAACAATAAATCAGCCATAGCTGATTAGCAATCATGAAATGAGGTCTGGGAGTTTTGAAGTTTCATTCTTTTATTACATTTTTTTTCTTAGATCTGTTAAAAGGTCACCATGGCAGCCTGTGTCTCCAACATCAGCTACACAACGCAGCAAGTGTAAGTACCAAGTGCGTACCTGTCTTGACCACTTCATGAATGGTTTTGTACTTTAAGCAGCTAGGCCAAACCTGTTATTTTTTTCTCCATAGCCATTTGGATCATTGGAGACAGCTACGTGAGGCGTGGTGCCCAGAGAGCTGCAGAGACCCTCAGAGACAACCTTGGCCTCCCTGACGTCCGTGTCTCCTGGTTCTGTTGGAGCGGACTGAGGTGGAAAGACCATCTCCCCTTCTTTTAACACTCCCTGCGAGGAAGAGCAGCTCCTGATGTCCTTCTCATCCACTGTGGTGGCAATGACATGGGGGTGGTCAGCAGTGTGAATCTGGTGAACATGATGAAGGAGGACCTGCACCGGCTTCACCTTCTACACCCTCATATGATGATCATCATATCATCCATCACCCAAAGGTGTAGCTGGAGGGCAGGTGTAAAACCTGCTAAAATTGAGAAGGCCAGGAGGTTTAACAGTGTTATGGGCTCGACACACGGGAGGCGACATTGCCTCTCCTCCATTCATTTTCAATGAGACATGCGCGACAAAGCGATAATCGCGGGTCTCTCTCCTACCAAGCGAAACGCGAAAAACGTGCGTGTGAAATTTTGCAATCGTGCACGTGTCGTGCACGGACGACCCAGCGACGCGATCCCAGAAAGTTGAAACATTTTCAACTTTTCATCGCTGTCGCTCGGACGAGGACCAATCAGGTTTCATTCACTGACCAATGAGCAGACATAATGCTCCGCACATCTCAGAGCAAACATGAAGGAGAAGTTATTATGTTTTATATAGTAAAATCAGAAGTAAGATTTCACATAACTCTAGCAGCACCTTGTGAAACATCATATCTACCGCTTTATTAACTCTGAACCGCTTAAATAACCTTAATTCCCTCCAACCTGACACAGCCAAACAAAACAACGGAAGTTTCGATTTCTCCATGGAACAGAACGGGTAGACGGCTTTGCCGCTGGCCGCTGCCGCGGGTCGCCTCCCGTGTGACAGGTAATAAAAGCGACAGCGACAAATTTCGCTGATCGCGGTCGTTTGTCGCCTCCCGTGTGTCGAGCCCATTATGGCTACACTTATTTCTAGCTTAAATGGTGCCGTTGTTGTGCATCCTCACATCACATCTTCCTGTACCGACACTATGTGTCCTGTTATTTTAAATAGCCTAATGTAAAAAAAAAAAGTTTTTGCTCAATTACTGGAATTTCTTTGGTAAAGTCAAAAAAGGAAGAATCATTTATGCCAAGTTATTTCTACAACAAGCCCATTTTAAGTCCAACAGTTTCTTAGCAGCCAATAGAAATGTGTTCTTTACTAACTTTACTTGGTTTAAAAATCTTACTAAAATAAACCTTAGAAGCTGCCGTACTGCAAAACCCAATCATACTTGTTATGTAAATATTAGCTTTTAGATATTTTTTACAGATAGATATTTGTGTGCTAAAAAAACACATAAACTGAAATAATTTGTCATTCTTCATTGAAAATCAACAAAATACAGGTATACAGGAAGTGTGGGAAAATGATAATGTGAAAGTATTGCTCTTTAAATGTAATACTATTTATCTTTTTTTTTTTAAACTAAAAAAGACTTGTACAGCAACATAGACGAATGGTGGTCTGTCTGTCAGAATGTGCTGAACAGATTTGCTCTATCAAAAGGAGCCTTTTGTGTACGAGTTTATGTTATTGTACCATTGGTTTGGGTCATGTATCGCCACATTAGCATGTAAATGCTGAACCAATCTGGAATAAAGAGGGTTGATAGAGGACAAACAAGTAAATAAGAGAGAAGTATAAAAACAACTAGGAAACAACATAAAAAAACAGCAACCAGCTGCTGCACCTGTAAAGAAACATTTCTAAGAATCATCAAGAAAACGTGGGATGAGCAACTATAAACATGTAAACCATGAACAACAAACATCAACAAGCATGTGTTCATGCGTGTGCTGGGATGTGAAGTGTGAGACGTCCAAGGATCAGGTGCACTCTGGAACCGCCCCAAGTACCAGGAAACCAGCAGCCACCACAGAGCACAGAACCAACTGAGACCACCTCCCAGACAGCCGAGCTCCTTGCTACAGAAAACTCAGCAAGGCCACATCCAGAACCGGGCTGACACAGGTCATGGGCCACAGGACACAGGAATCACTCAGCAATTCCACCTGAAACAGAATCATTAAAATTAGAATCAAATACAACTGTTGTTCAGTATGACATAACTGTCACGATTATGAGACAGACTAAACAGACTTTTAGCCAGACTGAAAAAATGTTGCCAGAAAAATATTTGTGCTGCTATCATTGAAAAAATTTATGGTAAATAAAAGTTTCCAAAGGTTATCCTAGGTCAAACCCCCTTTCAAACACCAGTGTTTACCTGCAGTCACACACCTGGCATGAATGAGTGAGGCATCTGCATGGTAATTCAAATGGAATTTTAAAGAGCAAGTAACGTCTAAATTAACTTTTTTTTGCTGATGAACTGTATAAATGAGTGTCTGTGTTTTAAATGTGTGTATTCATTATTTTAGCATTTTGGTGCATTTTCTTTAAAAATTCTGCCTAAATACCACAGTATAGCTCCACCTTCAGCTTAAAACATAGAATTTGACTCATTTTGAATAAATTTTAGCCAATGGCTAAAGAGTAAGATACTACGTAAACCAGTAGAGTACTACGTAGCAGCTCTGTGTCAAAGTTATAAAAGCATGGAGAGTCTCGGCCACGCCTTGTGGCGAGTTGGGAGTTGGATTTGCAAGCGAGTGTAGGACGGTTAGCGGTAGTTCAGCATTAGCATATAGCATTAGCATATCCTAGTCTTTAGCATAGCTTTTAGTGTTATACATACTTATTTAGTGTTAGTTTGGCTGTTGGATATTGTAGTTTAGTTAGTGTTTGGCTGTTAGTGTAATTAGGAAAGTAGTTGGGGTTCAGTGCTCCATATCGTGTTAGTAAGGTGAGACGGTGTAGTGTAGTATGGTTGCGGTGGCTCTGTGGGCATTTTACCCGCGATTCTGCACGTCTCCGTTTGAAGAGGGAGGCTGTGCCCACCATGGCTCTTCCGCGATTTAGATGCAGCCCACCGACTCTGCTCCCCCACCACGGCGGGCTCCAGTCTGAGGTGAGTACGCTAAATAAACGTTTTAACATCTTCTAAAGACAATTCCCTACCTAAATGCAAAGTTTGAGAGACGTGGCTCACTTCCTTTAGCTAGTCAGTCGGAAATTCTGCAACAGTGGCTCTAACCCCCAAATTCCACTACCTCCGCTCCGCTCCGGTCCACCCCCGCCTTCCGCAGCCGCTCGCTTCCAAACTCAATTTTTACTGGTACCCGCTCTACAACGGCTCCGCTCCGCTCCGGAGACCTGAGGTGGGCAAACAAGCATGTGCGGGATTTTCGAGATCTTGCGATACAGTCCGAGCAATAAACGCGGAAGTTAGATCCAAACACCTGTTTAATCTGCCCATCATTTGTGTTGATAGATCAGCAGTGTTTGGATCAACAAAGTGTGTCTACTTTGATAGTGGAAACTGCATTTATGGTTTACTTTTGTGCATTTAAACTTCAGCCGCCATTGATAGTTGTTAAAAGTTGTTAAACCTGTGCATATGAAACAAAAAACGCCTTTTGTTTATCGATTTATTGTGAAAAACGGAAGCTGTGCTTGCTCCTTTTCCTGTTGGGCCGTTGTGATTTCTGTCCATTTACTGCGGAGGTGCTCCGGCGTCCGGCAAAAATAGGATCGATTCTATTTTTGCCGGACGCCGGAACAGAGGGCGGCGCACGGCACCGCACTGCCGGAGCACGGCCGCAGTAGTGGAATTACTCTGATTGACTACAACGGGACCGATTTTGCTCCGGCGTTCGTGTCGGAGAGGAGGTAGTGGAATTTGGGGGTAACTGACGCAGCACTAGTTGACACACAGCATTACAGCGTGAAATCCAGCTTGTGACCCGGTTCTGTAAGGAATTCTGTTCAGGAGGTCGCATTTCAAGCTCTCCACATCATATGTGACTGACTTTTACGTTATAATAACGATCACACACTAGGAATGTTATAAAGCGCCTATATAGGACAGTTTCTTTTGTATTTTATCTGACTTTATAAACTCCAACAACAATGTGCTTCTATTTTTTTTTCCAGGCTAAATCTACCCAAGACATTGGCAGTCAGACTGATTAGCTGCAACAATGCACTTGTCCAGGCTGACGTGAAGCCTTACCCGTAGCAAAGGTGAATTATTTTTAATAATCTTCTATGTAAACATTTTATTATTACCTTCTAGTTTTAATTTGTTTTACAAATTATTGTTACGTGATTTTATGCTCTTTTAAACATTTATAAATGTGCCGCTTCTTTGTTTTTACATAGCCAGCCAGAATAGAGCTCACAGCCGCAGTGTGTCTTGTGACACAGAGATCATGACGGAAATTCATCTTCCAGAAAGTCCCAGAGCAGCGTCCACACCCCTGAAAAGACCAGAATGTAAGGTGTCTGCTGTTGATTCCAGCTTCCACCTCAGTGACAGTGCAAGCTCAGTGAACTGTTCAAGGTAAAAAAAAAATTTAAAACATTTCAGAATTTTTAAGATATTAACAATTAAATAAGTATGTGATTACATCATGACATCATGAAGGAGGCTACTGATTCTGGCCCTGTGACACTTGGTGGTGACGTGTGAGCTGATTCACCTGGTAAATAACTTTTACATTAAATATTTTGTTTTTGCTATCAAAAGTAAATTAATAACCTGCATTATTGCAGGACCCTCAGCAAAATATGGACTCTACACCATGAAGCAGGCACACGTTAATACTCTATAAGAGCCCATAAGGTGAGCAACACCACATATTATTATTACTGTACACTGTCCTGGATTTGTTTTCTTTCTGCATCTCATCATTAGCCTGGCTGATCACCTGATAACTCCTGTCATCTGGTTGTGACAGCTTGAGGATGTCCTCACACACCTGTAACTTATCAGCTCATCTGGCAGAAAAGAGAGAGAAGAGACAACACCACATCTCCTGTTCCTGGAAAGCCTTCAGCCATCCTTCGATGACTGAGAACCTCCATCAGCTCTGTCTCCTGTCTGCCTACAATTATTATAATAAATATTGTGTTTGACAAGTTTTTTGTGCTGCCAAACATCTCATTTAGATTCCAGTTTTGATATTTTAATGGATATTTATAAATTACATTGATTATCACATTGTCGCATGTTTAACTAGCTCTATTGTGATGAATTAAACTAGCACCTCACTGTTAAAAGCTCATTTTAATTTCAAGCATGTTTAAGTATTTATGGACATGAACAAAAACAGGAAATATATAAATTGAGATTTATTTAATTAATATAACAAATAAGGGGGAAAGAGTCATTGAAAGGCACATTCTTCCAGAAGCTCCTGATCCTGACGACACCAGAGACCAGCTGCAGACACCAGAGGACCTAGAACCAAGAGAGCAGCTGTTATCAGTAAATAAATAATGAAATCAGGGCAGTTTTAGCGGGCTGAACACATTACAGAATAATTTTCTCATGGGGTATTTTCATAACTTTCTATGCAGCAGACTAACTTGAGCCCAGGGCTCCTGGAAAGCTGCTATCCAGCACGTTTCAGTGGTTTTCCTGCTTTAACAGGTTAGATTAGCTGTTAAGCAGCTCAGCTATTTGTTGCTGATTAAAACCAGGTGTGTTGAAGCAGATAAATCTCTAAAACATGCTGAATACTAGCTCTCTCGGGCCGTGGAGCAAAACCCTGCAGCTAATCCAATGCTATGGCTAACGGCTACTTACCATTCAGAGCTGGTTCTGTTGGGTTGGTTCCGCTAGTTTCAGGCAACTCACAAGCTCAAAACAATAAGGCTCATGTCCGCTTGTCTCCTCCAAATAGACTTGGTCCCTTTCTTCTCGAATGTCTGGGTAAGGAGGGGGAGAAACGTCCTCCACTTCTAATAACTGCTCAGAGTGAAGGGAGCTAGCTTCGTCTAGTTAGCCATCGTCTTCGTCACTGCCGCGGCTCCGCCCTCTCGGTCCTCCAGGCAACGCCTACTAATGTTGCATTTTTTTAAATTGATACGTGGGTGGAGTAAGACTCTGAGGGGGGCATTACGACCTCTTTAAAGAAGGCAACTGGACTTCTTTGGTTTCATGAATATAGGAGGGTCGATCTTATTGTAGCTGTCTATTGTTGCTTGACAAGCAGAAACTGTCACCTGCCAAACACCTCCTCCCTACCTCCTCATGGTTCGTTTGCATCGTTAGCCTCTATTGTGTGGGAGTCGTGTTGATTAGATGCAGAAAGGTGTGATGTCGTGTTACTTTCTTGTAAATATGTATATAGTGTTTCTTCTTCATTCATGCATGAGTTACAGTTATTACATTTTTTTTCATATTATTGCTATATTATTATTATTTGCAGTGGGTACCTAAGTGAAGTTGCCCCCCCCCCCCCACACACATCTTCTTCAAATCTAACAAAATTGATGTCAAACATTTGTGCTGGTTTGTGCTGCAATATAATAATAATATATCAATAATATGAAGAAAATGTAATAACTATAACTGTGACGCTGGAACGGAGAAGAAAGACTATATACATATTTACAAGAAAGTTTTCTTCTAGTTACACAGCAATGTAACATATGTATATTATACAGTTAATGCTTCAATTGTTTAAATCTTAACCAAAATATGAAGTAATGTGTTTGTACCCTGGAGTCTGTGGTGAAGTGTTCACTGCACAAGCGGGAGTGTGAATTGGGAGTCCAGCACTCTCTTCTGTGGTTGCTTACTCAAAGGTC